TATTCCTATAATGGAAAACGTCATCATCATTGATAATACAAATAGCTGCAGTCGTCGGCGAATGTCTTTTCGCCTATTTGAAAATACGCAAAAGGGCAAAAATTATTGAGAAAGCTAAACTTTCTTTACTACTAGTATTGAATGTAAGTGAAAAGTTTACAAATCGAGTTGGTAACGTACCTTAGTATATTTCAAACGTCGTTTTACGTACGTGTGCATGTTGGAACAGGATTACTCCATGTTTCTGTTAGCTTGGCACATCGTGTCAGCAGTACCGTTCAGTTCGTATCCCGTGTCACAGGTAAAGTTTACCACGTCCTGGTATCTGTACGGTTCGGCAGAACTAAGCCCTCCGTTCGAAGGGGTCGGCAAGGAAATACATTGTACGCCTAAAAGGATAAAAAGTGTATCATCATTAAAAATGTATCATGCAAGCTACAATCGTCAGGGAACGCCCGAACAACTTTTGAAATTACGTAAACACCATAAAATTTTAGAGAAAGCAAACTTTTTTTTCTATTTAATGGAACCGTAAAGTTTACGTATGGATTTTGTAAAAATTCATTAGGTTTTTTCAAAACTTGTTATACTTACGTGTGCATGTTGGAACCGGGTTACTCCATGTTCTGTTAGCTTGGCACATCGTGTCAGCAGTACCGTTCAGTTCGTATCCCGTGTCGCAGGTAAAGTTTACCACGTCCTGGTAGCTGTACGGTCCGGCAGGACTCACCTCTCCGTTTGTAAGGGTCGGCAAGGAAATACATTGTACGCCTAAAATGAAAATACGTAATCATCATTGATAATGCATACAGCTGTAGTTGTCGGCGAACGTCATTTTCCCTATTTGACAGTAAGCAAAAGCGTTAAAAAATTTGGAGAAAGCTTTTCTTTCTTTTTTAATCAATGTTAATGAAAAGTTTACGAATCGAGTTGGTAGAAATATGTTAGTATATTTGAATCGTCGTTTTACGTACGTGTGCATGTTGGGACCGGGTTACTCCATGTTCTGTTAGCTTGGCACATCGTGTCAGCAGTACCGTTCAGTTCGTATCCCGTGTCACAGGTAAAGTTTACCACGTCCTGGTAGCTGTACGGTTCGGCAGAACTCAGCTCTCCGTTCGAAGGGGTCGGCAAGGAAATACATTGTACGCCTAAAAGGATAAAAAGTGTATCATCATTAAAAATGTATCATGCAAGCTACAATCGTCAGGGAACGCCCGAACAACTTTTGAAATTACGTAAACACCAAATAATTTTAGAGAAAGCAAACTTTTTTTTCTATTTAATGGAACCGTAAAGTTTACGTATGGATTTTGTAAAAATTCATTAGGTTTTTTCAAAACTTGTTATACTTACGTGTGCATGTTGGAACCGGGTTACTCCATGTTCTGTTAGCTTGGCACATCGTGTCAGCAGTACCGTTCAGTTCGTATCCCGTGTCGCAGGTAAAGTTTACCACGTCCTGGTAGCTGTACGGTCCGGCAGGAGTCACCTCTCCGTTTGTAAGGGTCGGCAATGAAATACATTGTACGCCTAAAATGAAAATACGTAATCACCATTGATAATTCATATAGCTGTAGTTGTCAACGAAAGTCTTTTTGCTTATTTGACAGTATGTAAATGGCTTTAAAAAAAATTGGAGAAAGCTTTTCTTTCTTTTCTAATGAATGTAAATGACATGTTTACGAAACGAGTTGGTAGAAATATTAGTATATTTCAAACGTCGTTTTACGTACGTGTGCATGTTGGAACAGGATTACTCCATGTTCTGTTAGCTTGGCACATCGTGTCAGCAGTACCGTTCAGTTCGTATCCCGTGTCACAGGTAAAGTTTACCACGTCCTGGTAGCTGTACGGTCCTGCTGGACTAAGCACTCCGTTTGTAGGGGTCGGCAAGGAAATACATTGTATTCCTAAAATAGAAAAACGTCATCATTATTGATAATACAAATAGCTGCAGTCGTCGGCGAACGTCTTTTCGCCTATTTGAAAATACGCAAAAGGGCAAAAATTATTGAGAAAGCTAAACTTTCTTTACTACCAGTATTGAATGTAAATGAATAGTTTACAAATCGAGTTGTTAAAGTACCTTAGTATATTTCAAACGTCGTTTTACGTACGTGTGCATGTTGGAACCGGGTTACTCCATGTTCTGTTAGCTTGGCACATCGTGTCAGCAGTACCGTTCAGTTCGTATCCCGTGTCACAGGTAAAGTTTACCACGTCCTGGTAACTGTACGGTCCGGCAGGACTCACCTCTCCGTTTGTAAGGTTCGGCAAGGAAATACATTGTACGCCTAAAATGAAAATACGTAATCACCATTGATAATTCATATAGCTGTAGTTGTCAACGAAAGTCTTTTTGCTTATTTGACAGTATGTAAATGGCTTTAAAAAAATTGGAGAGAAAGCTTTTCTTTCTTTTCTAATGAATGTAAATGACATGTTTACGAAACGAGTTGGTAGAAATATTAGTATATTTCAAACGTCGTTTTACGTACGTGTGCATGTTGGAACAGGATTACTCCATGTTCTGTTAGCTTGGCACATCGTGTCAGCAGTACCGTTCAGTTCGTATCCCGTGTCACAGGTAAAGTTTACCACGTCCTGGTAGCTGTACGGGCCGACAGAACTAAGCCTTCCGTTCAAAGGGGTCGTCAAGGAAATACATTGTACGCCTAAAATGGAAAAAACGTAACTATCTTTGTTAATGCATTTTGCTGGAATCATCGGCAAACGTCTATTTGCCATTTTGAAAGTACGCAAAAGGGAAATAAACTTTCGAGAAAGCTAAACTTTCTTCTCTATTCAATGTAAAAGAAAAGTTTACAAATCGAGTCGGTAGAAATACATCAATGTATTTTAAACGTCTATTTACGTACGTGTGCATGTTGGAACAGGATTACTCCATGTTCTGTTAGCTTGGCACATCGTGTCAGCAGTACCGTTCAGTTCGTATCCCGTGTCACAAGTAAAGTTTACCACGTCCTGGTATCTGTACGGTCCGGCAGGACTAAGCCCTCCGTTTTTAGGGGTCGGCAAGGAAATACATTGTACGCCTAAAAGGATAAAAAATGTTTTTATCATTGAAAATGTACCATGTAAGCTACAATCGTCAGGGAACGCCCGAACAACTTTTGAAACTACGTAAAGACGAAAAAAAAGCAAACGTTTTTTTTTTCCAAATAATGGAAGACGTAAAGTTTACGTATAGATTTTGTAACGATTCATTAGGTATTTCCAAAAGTTGCTATACTTACGTGTGCATGTTGGAAAAGGACTACTCCATGTTCCGTTAGCTTGGCACGTCGTATTAGTGGTGCCGTTCAGTACGTATCCCGTGTTACAGGTAAAGTTGACCACGGTCTGATAGGATGTCGCTGTGGTACTGATCGCTCCGTTAGACGGGACCTTTAGAGTCTCACATTGAATTGCTGAAAAGCCGAATAATCTTTCATGAATAAACATATCTATTGAAACATGTACAAAGTAACCCCTTTCAATACACATCAATGTTTATGTTTAAAATACAGTAGAGTTTAGTAACAGGAAGTTTCCTTTTAAAACTACCTTAACTATATTTGGTAAAAGAAATGTTTGTACCGTAGAATTTGCTAGACATTGCCTGCATTTTTAGCAACTTGCAAATCGCCTTACGTGTGCATGTTGGAACAGGATTGCTCCATGCTCCGTCAGCTTGGCAGGTTGTATTAGTGGTGCCGTTCAGTACGTATCCAGTGTTACAGGTAAAGTTGACCACGGTCTGATAGGAGGTCGCTGTGGTACTGATCGCTCCGTTAGTTGGGACCGCCAGAGTCTCACATTGCATTGCTGAAGAGGCAAATAACCTTTTATGATTCAAAACAAATCTATACTGAACATGCACGAAGTGACCCCTTTCAATACACAACAATGTTTATGTTTGTTTTGTTACAGTAAGTTTTCTTTCAGAACTATGTTGACTATCTGGTAAAAGAAATGTCTGTACCGTAGAATTCGATAGACATTGCCTGCATTTTTAGCAACTTTCAAGTCGCCTTACGTGTGCATGTTGGTAAAGGATTGCCCCATGTTTCGTCAGCTTGGCACGTCGTATTAGTGGTGCCGTTCAGTACGTATCCCGTGTTACAGGTAAAGTTGACCACGATTTGGTAGGAGGTCGCTGTGGTACTGAGTGCTCCGTTAGTTGGAACAGTCAGAGTATCACATTGCATTGCTGAAGAGGCAAATAACCTTTTATGATTCAAACCAAATCTATACTGAACATGCACGAAGTGATCCCTTTCAATACACAACAATTTTTATGTTTGAAATACAGCAAGTTTTGTTACAGTAAGTTTTCTTTCAAAACTATGTTGACTATCTGGTAAAAGAAATGTCTGTACCGTAGAATTCGATAGACATTACCTGCATTTTTAGCAACTTGCAAATCGCCTTACGTGTGCATGTTGGTATAGGATTGCCCCATGTTCCGTCAGCTTGGCACGTCGTATTAGTGGTGCCGTTCAGTACGTATCCCGTGTTACAGGTAAAGTTGACCACGGTCTGATAGGATGTCGCTGTGGTACTGATCGCTCCGTTAGATGGGACCTTTAGAGTGTCACATTGAATTGCTGAAAAGCCGAATAATCTTTCATGAATAAACATATCTATTGAAACATGTACAAAGTAACCCCATTTCAAAACACATCGATGTTTATGTTTAACCCTACCTAGACCGGGCTTTTTTTGACATGGGGGGACCGGGGGGGGGGGGCGTCGTTTTGACCCCCCCTAGAACTCGCGAACGGTATGTCGTATGGCCACCAAATTTGCAGAGAATGGTGTACTAGTAAAAATTTATCATATCTACAATTTTTATGTCGTTATGATCTAATATGACGTCATTATGACGTCATTAATGTGATTTTATTGGCCAAAACCGTCTAAATAGGTTTTTCCCTGAAAACTAAATGGTATTCAACATAACTGTACCAAAAGTGTTTATGACAGAATATTATGGTGTACTAAGTCTTATGTTGCCCATAGCAACACCGGTGACGTCATAAAATGACGTCATGCATATTTAAGATATACGCCATCTTGGATCATCAATCTTGAATTTTCAAAAATAGTTTTTTTTCATGATAAAGCCTAAAATACATCGTAAACATACTAAAGACCTTCATTTAAGCCTTTTTTGGAAAAAGAAATGGAAGTATTGATGAAATTTTAATGAAAATAACCTGTATATACCTGTTCTAATGATATGGTCCGCCATCTTGGATTTTGGCTAATGACGTCATCAAATTAGCATAAATTATGCATATTTAATGATAAAATTTACATAAAGTTATATGGGATGTTACTAATATTAGAAACCATGAGTAACTTGACATGAAACCCATAAAATTCTATTGTTGAAACAAAAAGTACTAAATTTAGCAAAAAATGTTTAAGATACAGTACTTTTACTTGCAATAGCTTTCCTTCTTAAAGTTACTTAACAATTTGGTGAATGTAATGTCTGCATCGTAGAGTTCGACAGACGTTGTTATTAAGTATTAGCAACTTGCAAATCGCCTTACGTGTGCATGTTGGTACAGTATTGCTCCATGTTGCGTCAGCTTGGCACGTCGTATTAGTGGTGCCGTTCAGTACGTATCCCGTGTTACAGGTGAAGTTGACCACGGTCTGGTAGGAGGTCGCTGTAGTACTGAGCGCTCCGTTAGTTGGGACCGTTAGAGACTGACATTGCATTGCTGAGAAGAAACAAAAATATATTTTATAAATAAAGTTAATTTCTATACAGAACCAGCGCAGTAAACGCTTTTAAAACTAGGCAATGTCCATGTTTTTAATACAGCAAGCTTCTTTACGGTAATTTACCTTCTTAAACTATCTTAACATTTTAGTAAATGTGATGCTTGTACCGTACAATTCGATAGATATTGCCTGCATTTTTAGCAACTTGAGAATCGCCTTACGTGTGCATGTTGGAACGGGATTGCTCCATGTACCGTCAGCTTGGCACGTCGTATTAGTGGTGCCGTTTTGTACGTATCCAGTGTTACAGGTAAAGTTGACCACGGTCTGGTAGGAGGTCGCTGTGGTACTGAGTGCTCCGTTAGTTGGGACCGCCAGAGTCTCACATTGCATTGCTGAAAAGGCAAATAAAATTTTATGAATAATTAAAATCTATATAACATTTTATGAATAATTAAAATCTATACTGCACATGTACAAGTTGACCCCTTTTAATACACAATAATGTTTATTTTTGAAATACAGTAGTTTGGTTACAGTAAGTTTCCTTTTAAAACTATCTTACTATCTGGTTAAAGAAATGACTGTACCATAGAATTTGATAGACATTGCCTGCATTTTTTGCAACTTGCATATCGCCTTACGTGTGCATGTTGGTATAGGATTGCTCCATGTTCCATTAGCTTGGCACGTCGTATTAGTGGTGCCGTTCAGTACGTATCCAGTGTAACAGGTAAAGGTGACCACGGTCTGGTAGGAGGTCGTTGTGGTACTGAGCGCTCCGTTGGTTGGGACCGTCAGAGTCTCACATTGCATTCCTGAAAAGGCAAATAAACCTTTATGAATAAAAAAACAACTATATTAAACATGTAAAAAGAGACCCCTTTCTATACACATCAATGGTTATGTTTGAAATACAGAAATTTAGTTACAGTATATTTCCTTTTAAAACTATCTTAACTATATCTTGTAAAATCAATGTCTGTTCCATAGAATTCGATAGACATTGCCTGCATTTTCTGCAACTTGCAAACGGTCTTACGTGTGCATGTTGGTTCAGTAGTGCTCCATGTTCCGTCAGCTTGGCACGTCGTATTAGTGGTGCCGTTCAGTACGTATCCCGTGTTACAGGTAAAGTTGACCACGATTTGGTAGGAGGTCGCTGTAGTACTGAGCGCTCCGTTAGCTGGGACCGTCAGAGTGTCACATTGTATTGCTGAAAAGGCAAATAACCTTTTATGAATAAAAATATCTATTCAGAACATGAAGAAAGTGACCCCTTTTTAATACACAACAATGTTTATGTTTCAAAAATACAGAAGTCTAGTTACAGTAAGTTTTTAAAACTATCTAAATTATCTGGTAAAAGAAATGTCGGTACCGTAGAATTTGATAGACATTGCCTCCATTTTTAGCAACCTGCAAAACGCCTTACGTGTGCATGTTGGTATAGGATTGCTCCATGTTCCATTAGCTTGGCACGTCGTATTAGTGGTGCCGTTCAGTACGTATCCAGTGTAACAGGTAAAGGTGACCACGGTCTGGTAGGAGGTCGCTGTGGTACTGATCGCTCCGTTAGTTGGAACAGTCAGAGTATCACATTGCATTGCTGAAGAGGCAAATAACCTTTTATGATTCAAACCAAATCTATACTGAACATGCACGAAGTGACCCCTTTCAATACACAACAATCTTTATGTTTGAAATACATTAAGTTTTGCTACAGTAAGTTTTCTTTCAAAACTATGTTGACTATCTGGTAAAAGAAATGTCTGTACCGTAGAATTTGATAGACATTGCCTGCATTTTTAGCAACTTGCAAACGGTCTTACGTGTGCATGTTGGTTCAGTATTTCTCCATGTTCCGTCAGCTTGGCACGTCGTATTAGTGGTGCCGTTCAGTACGTATCCCATGTTACAGGTAAAGTTGACCACGATTTGGTGGGATGTCACTGTGGTACTGAGCGCTCCGTTAGCTGGGACCGTCAGAGTGTCACATTGTATTGCTGAAAAGGCAAATAACCTTATATGGATAGAAATATCTATTCAGAACATGAAACAAGTGACCCCTTTTTAATACACAACAATGTTTATGTTTTAAATACAGAAGTTTACTTACAGTAAGTTTTCCCTTAAAACTATCTTAATTATCTGGTAAAAGAAATGTCGGTACCGTAGAATTTGATAGACATTGCCTGCATTTTAGCAACCTGCAAAACGCCTTACGTGTGCATGTTGGTACAGTATTGCTCCATGTTGCGTCAGATTGGCACGTCGTATTAGTGGTGCCGTTCAGTACGTATCCCGTGTTACAGGTAAAGGTGACCACGGTCTGGTAGGAGGTCGTTGTGGTACTGAGCGCTCCGTTAGTTGGGACCGTTAGAGACTGACATTGCATTGCTGAGAAGAAACAAAAAAATATTTTATAAATAAAGTTAATTTCTATACAGAACCAGCGCAGTAAACGCTTTTAAAACTCGGCAATGTCCATGTTTTTAATACAGCAAGCTTCTTTACGGTAATTTACCTTCTTAAACTATCTTAACTTTTTAGTAAATGTGATGCTTGTACCGTACAATTCGATAGATATTGTCTGCATTTTTAGCAACTTGAGAATCGCCTTACGTGTGCATGTTGAAACGTGATTGGTCCATGTACCGTCAGCTTGGCACGTCGTATTAGTGGTGCCGTTCAGTACGTATCCCGTGTTACAGGTAAAGTTGACCACGGTCTGATAGGAGGTCGCTGTGGTACTGATCGCTCCGTTAGACGGGACCTTTAGAGTGTCACATTGAATTGCTGAAAAGCCGAATAATCTTTCATGAATAAACATATCTATTGAAACATGTACAAAGTAACCCAATTTCAATACACATCGATGTTTATGTTTAAAATACAGTAGAGTTTAGTAACAGTAAGTTTCCTTTTAAAACTAACTTAACTATATTTGTTAAAAGAAATGTCTGTACCGTAGAATTTGCTAGACATTGCCTGCATTTTTAGCAACTTGCAAATCGCCTTACGTGTGCATGTTGGTACAGGATTGCTCCATGTTCCGTCAGCTTGGCACGTCGTATTAGTGGTGCCGTTCAGTACGTATCCCGTGTTACAGGTAAAGTTGACCACGGTCTGGTAGGAGGTCGCTGTGGTACTGATAGCTCCGTTAGTTGGGACCGTTAGAGACTGACATTGCATTGCTGAGAAGAAACAAAAAATATTTTATGAATAAGGTTAATTTCTATACAGAACCAGCGCAGTGACCTCTTTCAAAACTCGGCAATGTTTACGTCTTCAATACAGCAAGTTTCTTTACGCTAATTTTCCCTCTTAAACTATCCTAACTATTTAGTAAATGAAACGTTTGTATCGTAGAATTCGATAGACATTGCCTGCATATTTAGCAACTTAGAAAACGCCTTACGTGTGCATGTTGGAACGGGATTGCTCCATGTACCGTTAGCTTGACACGTCGTATTAGTGGTGCCGTTCAGTACGTATCCAGTGTTACAGGTAAAGTTGACCACGGTCTGGTAGGAGGTCGTTGTGGTACTGAGCGCTCCGTTAGTTGGGACCATCAGAGTGTGACATTGCATTGCTGAGAAGAAGCGAAAAAATATTTTATAAATAAAATTAATTTCTATACAGAACCAGCGCAATAAACGCCTTTAGAACTCGGCAATGTTCATGTTTTTAATACAGCAAGTTTCTTTACGGTAATATACCTTTTTTAAACTATATTAACTATTTAGTAAATGTGATGCTTGTACCGTACATTTCGATAGACATTGCCTGCATTTTTAGCAACTTAGAAATCGCCTTACGTGTGCATGTTGGTACAGTATTGCTCCATGTTCCGTTAGCTTGGCACGTCGTATTAGTGGTGCCGTTCAGTACGTATCCAGTGTTACAGGTAAAGTTGACCACGGTCTGGTAGGATGTCGCTGTTGTACTAAGCGCCCCGTTGGTTGGGACCATCAGAATATGACATTGTATTGCTAAAATGGCGAAAAAATTTTATAGTTTGAACGTATTTTATGTACAGAATGTGTACGGATTGAATTATTTTCATACACGGCTTTTTTTTAGATACATCACTTTTAGTTACGGTAAGTTTCCTTCTTTAAGTCACTTTTTAACACACAAGTTCAACATTACCAGCATCGGGGCGTTTTCCAAAGGTTTACCATGTGGTGGTTACTCGTCTAATTTTTCAATGTTGCATTGCATAGTTAGTAGATTTTAAAAAAATATTTATAACAGACAGATTGCCACCTACCCATAGTGGTCTGCGATGTCGTTACAAATGCCGGGGTTGTCGTCCTAGCCGTTATACCTGAATAGCAACAACAAGCTTAGTTTATAATTTTCTTATAATGGCTGAACAAGGGAATTTCAAAAATCCTCTCTTAATTTTTCCATGAAAATGGAGATACTGTTTTTTTTCTGTTTAGCTCTTATACATGTTTGCACAGATAATCATAGCCTCTTCCTGTTACCTAGGCAAGACTAAAAAATCATCGTTCAGCGTCTCCCTTACTAAAATCAGCTGCAAACTTTTATGAATAATATATGTTGTAAACAAGCGTCGTAATTCCGCCTTGTTTGTCACGGCTGCCAGTTGAGTTGTTGTTGCTGACTTCCAACACTTCATTTTTTTTTTACTTATTTGCAGATTAACCAATATTTTGTGCTTATAAATCTGCATTTCTCCTCTGGTCGCTCAGTCACTGACGAAATATAGTTGATACTATAGCTGAAACGTCTGACCGTTTCCAAAACCATATTCAGTTCCTATTGCATCTCTAAAAATCCAGTCTTTATTACCAATGTTCAGGAATAGGACTTGTCGAATATAGAAAAGTAAGGTTTGCCGTACCTTGTGCTGACGACCCTGGGACCGATTGTAGGACTGCAAAGATTGTCGTTATTAGTTGCAAGTTCCCCGGCAGGTTTTTCCATACACGTTTGGTCTTCATTTTCCTACAATCCAAAGATGCACATATAATAAATGTCTGCCTAGGTTTCTGCTGTAGTCGTGTGGAATGATAAATATTCTCACATTAAAGTTTCCTGTAGCTGATGACGTGCTGACTTTGTTGTAAAATTACATCTATAGCAATACGTAACATTGACATCTATAGCAGTACGTAGCACTGGCATCTATAGCAGTACGTAGCACTGGCATCTATAGCAGTACGTAGCACTGGCATCTATAGCAGTACGTAGCACTGGCATCTATAGCAGTACGTAGCATTGGCATCTATAGCAGTACGTAGCACAGCATCTATGGCAGTACGTTACACTGACATCTATAGCAGTACGTAAAAATTACATCTGTAGCAGTACGTAGCACTGGCATCTATAGCAGTACGTTGCACTGACATCTATAGCAGTACGTAGCACAGCATCTATCACGCTGCATCTATAGCAGTACGTAAAAATTACATCTGTAGCAGTACGTAGCACTGGCATCTATAGCAGTACGTTGCACTGACATCTATAGCAGTACGTAGCACAGCATCTATCACGCTGCCATCTATAGCAGTACGTTGCACTGACATCTATAGCAGTACGTAGCACAGCATCTATCACGCTGCATCTATAGCAGTACGTTGCACTGACATATATAGCAGTACGTAGCACAGCATCTATCACGCTGCATCTATAACAGTACCTAGCACTGACATATATAGCAGTACGTAGCACTGACATCTATAGCAGTACGTAGCACTGGCATCTATCACGCTGCATCTATAGCAGTACCTAGCACTGACATCCATAGCAGTACCTAGCACTGACATCTATAGCAGTACGTAGCACTGGCATCTATCACGCTGCATCTATAGCAGTACCTAGCAATGACATCTATAGCAGTAAGTCGCACTGACATCTATAGCAGTACGTAAAAATGACATCTTTAGCAGTACGTAGCACAGACATCTATAGCAGTACGTTACACTGACGTCTATAGCAGTACGTAAAAATTGCATCTGTAGCAGTACGTAGCACTGACATCTATAGCAGTTCGTTACACTGACGTCTATAGCAGTACGTCGCACTGGTATCTATAGCAGTACGTAGCACTTACATCTGTAGCAGTACGTAGCACTGGTATCTATAGCAGTACGTAGCACTGACATCTATAGCAGTACGTAACACTGGCATCTACAGCAGTACGTAGCACTGACATCTATAGCAGTTCGTAGCACTGGCATATAGCAGTACGTAACACTGGCATCTATAACAGTAAGTAACACTGACATTTATAGCAGTACGTAGCACTGACGTCTAGTGCAGTACGTAGCACTCGCATGTATTGCACAGACATCTATTGTAATAACACCGTTTTTACTGCGGCTAGTAGCAGAAGTACTCCCGATATTTCCTAGATTGTTAAAAAATCAGCTTGTATAATATCGTTTGGTGTTAAGTAGGCCATTTTTTTTCCTGACATGCAAAGAGAGGCATCATGAATGATTCCAATGGAAGTGTGTTGTAAACTCTTAAACTCTTTGTCGGAAAAACTTAAAACACTTAACGAGAAATTTTATGTACATTTGATTATAATATAAACGCTTGTAGTAGTGAAAAGTGGACTGCAATGCATCCGATGGTAGTTAAGAAATATTCAAGTGTTTTGATATTCCGCGTTTTGGACATGCTAGGGTCATAAATTTTAGATGATAGGTAGCTCTTGTGCTCGAAAAGAAGTCACGTGAGTTTGGGCCCCCTAGCAGCTTGTTCTGAAAATGCAAGACGGTTTCTTTAAAAATCTTCGAGAGAGGATTACTAAGAAACTGGTTGAGTGATCGTCGTGATTTCCGGTATGTAGGTAGGTGAAGTGATGCTTGGCATTACTAAAATAAAATTTAAAATCTAGATCTAATTTGCATAATAATGAGAAAATTCTATAAATCTGTTGTGTTTGATTCAGGGCTATGAAACACTTGTGACATATATAAATGAAAACCCAATTTGCATAATTATTGTGAAATTGCTACAACGCTATAGTGGCAACTGTAGGGAATTTAATACTTGCCATAATTAGATGTTCAGTGAACGTGAACATCACTAAACATAATTTATTCATATCAGGACCTCATTTGCACAATTTATGAGCTAGCTAAGCTACTAATACTACTAATGAACAGTTATACGGTTCGCTACCAAATGTAACTTCAGTAGTCAAATGTCGACGACTAAGCTTGGCCGGTCATGTAATACGTAGTGAAGAACCAGCCAGTAGGCTTCTACTCTGGAACCCTGATACCTGTAAGAGAAGAGTTGGACGCCCAAACATAACAGTTAAGAAACCTATTGAAACTGAAACTGGCTTGGAGGGACATGAACTTTTCTCAGTGATGTATGACAGACAGTTGTGGCGAACTAACTTTGTATGCTCCACCTCTACGGAGGATGAATGATGATGATGATGATGAAGCTAGAATGGCTTTTTTCCTAGGATAATCTTGTTATTGGGTGGAGAATATGATCATTTGATATTAATATATTCAAATAATTTCAAGAGTTTCGCTAATGAGCAGGATTGTAAATTAAAGCCATTTACAGGTGCCCATCCCCATGCATTAATGATACAAAAACACTAAACATGTCATGGAGGTATGAGATCGCCGAACTCTAGTTTTTACTCTAATCGAGATATCCGCACAATGTAAAAGTCTGCTTATTCGTGTACACAAGGAATGTCCTTAATTGGTGTACTTTACTAAGGAATTTTAAAGACAGGTCATGTCCTTGGGTGTACTAAGTCGCGCAGCGCCGGTCTTATAGCTCAGGGCTGTGAAAAAAACCGGTTCTTTGGGGCTGTTATCTGTACCTGACGATGTCAGGGCCCCAGTGTGTGTACTATGTTTACATTCTCCTGTACGTTTCACATATTTTGTTGCAGTGTTGTTTACGGTGTGGGAGGGCAACCTGTATTGCCTTCATTTCTCTTCTATTTTCTAATAAAGCAGTAAATTCAATTAATACTAATGGACTTCCATACTAATGGAGATCTAAATAAACAACAACAAATTAACTTATTCTCCTTGTGTGTGTGTGGGGGGGGGCAACAACTACAAACTATCATTACCGAGAATCGAAGTCAGATTTGTCCCACGATAAGACAGCTGAGGGCTTAAAAAAGACATGCAAAACTATCTGAAAAGTACCCTTTAGTTTGAAATTGGGCGATCGTACGAATAACGCTACGTCCATCGTATGATAGTTCAGGTAGCATTTCTAGGTCAGTCGTAACTCTAAATGCCCTATAATGCCTTCTAGTCAGGCTAATAATAATGACAATATCTCTTGAAGGCCAAACTTTACATTTTGAATATCGAAGAAGTCCTTCAATCGAAAGACCGGCCTCCCAACAAAGACTGCGACCCAAGGCAAGCATTCACCCCGCAAGCCAGCCAGAAATATAAGCAAGAACTGACAGCTAGAAGGCCAGTAGGCAAGAGGGATAGACGGACAGCCAACCAGTCAGAAAGACAGACATTTAGACAAAAACGTCTCCAAAAAGGTCTACCTTTGTATTCGGAATATCGATGAAGTCCTGTAATCTTCAGCGAGGTCTACAGGTCAGCCATCCACTCTGGATAACAGTTTCCCAGTAGACAGAACGCAGATCTTAGTTTAAGTTAGTTACGCTGCACTGGTGGTAGAGTTTGCAATATGTGATCAAATCCTAGACGTACAAAGAATAAGTACCCGCCTTGAAGCCCCAGGCCATGGATGACCTTGCAACACCCCTGCCTGATTTAGGTAACCTGTGTTGTACAACGGTGAATCTTTTAGTATAATAGAAGACTTATGTTTTTGAATATATGTAACTAGTCTGCAGCATTTAAAGGCCGGTAGGCCATTGATGAAAATATCCACTTATAAAATAAGCACGCACTAGTTTGGGGGTCTTCAGAGGATGTCGTCCATAGAATTAAGTCGGCGTGGCCTTATTATCCGTAACAACAGAGCCAGTGTGTGTGCACGTGCGTTAAGGAGAGTGCCAGTGTGTGTACACGTGCGTTAAGGAGCGGTGCAGTTATGCCGCCAGCAATGTGTCCTTGATCCGCGCACTTTTTAACGGGGTCCTTTACCTGTGGTGCAAATACTGTCAGAGCTCGAGTTTGTTAATATATCTACTAACTATGAACATATTTTAATACTCTAGGATTGTTGCTCTTCGACTGATATACTTGTTCTTGTCGCCTTTTCACTTCTTTAGGCCACACCGACTTAATTTTATGGATAACATCCCCTGAAGGCCCCCAAGCAAGTGCGCGCGGGCGAATAAAATAAAAGTCCGACCAAAATGAAAATGCTACTTAGAACTACAGGAATACAAAGCTGTTATTGTGAATTGCGACAGTACACGCATTACATATAACGACGTATACGACCTGCAGGCACATGCTGTTTTTTTTTTGCTGTATTTATGAATCGGCACTGTTAGTTTGTACTAGATAAGATCTTGACTTGTTAAGCTTCGGCAGCCTCCAGAGTTCCCACCGTCTCCGTATTGTCGCTAACTGCCATATGCATAGACTACCCAGGCCTACAGTCAGGCCAGAGTCTCGAAGGACGTGATTTTTTTAGAACAGGCGAAAATCAACGCGCGCGTGGATGTCATCCATAAAATTAAGTCGGTGTGGCCTTACTGAGACGTATCACGACTCTCAATCAACAACACCACCATAGCCTTTTTACATTCACCAAGAAGGTCCAATTTTCGGTAGCGTTCGTGTGTCTGATCGCCAGTCTATCCGTGTGTGTGTATGTGTGTTTGTGTATGTGTGTGTGCGTGTGTACCAAAGAAGAAATGTCATAAAACAATACAGGCTACCAGAACAATTTTACATCCTTGATGAAGTTATAAAGTGTGTTTTCTACATGTCTGTTTTTATAAATAATATCATATTCAAGTTAAAGGGCATAGAAATATACTTAATGGGCTAACCTGACCATGCATGCATCGCCAAACAAAGAAACAATATTGGATCGTCCCTAATGTACTGTTAAGGTCCTGCACTGCACTGTCCCTGAACCACACTTCACAGCGCTTTTGAAGCATGTGATTTGAAAAACAGGCGTCCTGCCAGCCTGAAAACAGCCTAACGCCAAGTTTCCGTCAAAAAGAAAGCCCCGGAGGTTGCAAATAACTTTCCAGGCAAGCCAGGTCAAGGGAAACCAGTCCGCAGACTGTCAACAACATGGAGCCGGCGGGGCAGGTCGTCCTGTTAGCGGTCAGCCTGGCCTTTGTTAACCCAGTCACCGCGGGTATGTTGACATATTATTTACTTGCATATCAATCAATAGTTTATGCTTTAAAAACCTGCATTTCTCCCCTGGTCTCTCAGTCACTGACGAAAACTAGTGGATACTAGCTGAAACGTCTGAGGTTTTCAAAACCATATCCAGTTGCTTGAGTAACTGCTTTTTGGCGTATCATATTACCTGGATGTCTAGTCTTCATCGACGTTAACATATTATGTATTATGTTACTGTAAGAAATGTGTATTCATGTATAAAATCATATCTTTTGCCCTGTTTTGTATAAATCTATAACTATAGGAAACACAAAACACCCGAAAATGATACTAGACTTTGAATTTCTGAACTACATGGAAATTGAGGATGCTTAAAAAGTTTACGTTCGCTTGCTTATCTTTCTTATCATGCACGGCTTGTTCTTACGGCCTTTAAAGTTACATAACTGCAGACTTCGTTTAACCACAGATGTTAAAACAGGCGTTTTAGCTCCGTTATGTGGCTTCCAAGAAATGGGACAAAGAGTAAACTAGAATTCCACGATCTCATACCTTCGCCAAAAGATGATAATCTTTATGACTGACAGTGAATATTATTCCTCCTGATTATGCAAATAGGATCCTTATTTGCATTAATTACATCAGTTGATCATATTCTCCACGAGACTTATCTTAACAAAGAAATCCATTCTATTATTTCCCCATAAATTATGCAATTAAGGTCATTATTTGAATAAGTTATCTTTAATGATGTTCACCTTCACTTAACTTTCAAATACCCCAAGTATGAAATTCCAGGCAGTTACCACTATGGAATTATGGAACATTTTCTCATTAATTATGCAAATTAAATGTTCATTTACATAATCAATATCTGCCTGTGTTTCTCTTGTTCTCTTGTTACATATGTCACAAGCTTGAATAGTCCTATTATGTAATGCAGCATTATTAATAGAATTCCCTCATAAATCATGCAAATTGCATCCGGATTTGCAAAATTGTCGTATAGTTTTGTCAAGAGTCACTCAAGCTACCTACATACAAAAATCACGATGATCTGTGAACAGGTTCTTGAGTTATCCTCTTTTGAATATTTTTAGATAAACGCCTCTGCATTTTTTGAGCAAGCCGCTAGGGGGCCCAAACCTACGTCACTTCTTTCCCAGCACAAGACCTACATACCATCCAAATTTTGCGACCCTAGCATGTCCAGATCATGAGATATCAAAACCGGAAGTTCAGCTGCAGTACCATAACAAGCCACCAGGGGACCCAAAATCAATTCATTTTGAGGTCTTATCAAGACCTACCTACCTACCTACCAAGTATGAAGACAATCCATTTGAGCCTTCTTGAGTTATCATGTTTACAGACAGACACACACGCGAACGCCTCTGAATACATAACCTTCTTGGCGAAGGTGATTATCAGTGGCGACAAGCCATGAATTACACGCACGAAAAACAAGCACATAGGGACCGTGCGGTAGTTTTGGGATTGGGGTAGAAATCGGTATGGAGATTGTGGTCAATCAACTTTTTGACCTTGAAGCAAGTGGGCTATATACAAATGGCCTGGGGGGAGGTCCATGCCGAAAATAAACCCTCAATTAAAGAAACGTCTAGAATCCATAACGAGCCTTTGACTTGAATTCATCGTGGTCGATCTATGCATCGCTGAGAAACATTGTTTAGACTAATAATTGTTGAAAGACATAACATCCTCTAAATTTGTAAAATTAAAAATTTTTAAATTAGTAAGATATGTACGCAGTCAAGTCACTCAGACCTAACATTCATGTATAACTTTTCTGCTAAGTAGGGAGTAATCGCCTTCGCGCTAAAATCATAATGATATCAAAGTGCAACACAAATTATACTAGAATATGCAGTGATGTTCCTATATTTTAGATGGTGGGGTGGGTAGGGGTGAAATTAGCGACCAGTAAAGAACCCGTTACTTCGGAACCCTTGCTACATAACAGCCACGAATGTTTTTCCCAACAATCTAGAAGTTTCTACCGTGAAAATATTCTCACCTGCACTATTGTAGACTGTTGCGCAGTTAGTGCATGTTACATCCTAATCTAACCCAACTCTGCAACCGAAATGACAAACGATGGACTTTTTCTGGAAAACTGGTTTATCTTCATTCTATGCACTCTCTATATCCCTGGATAAGCCTATAAGCGCACCTTGTGACTACTAGTATGTACATTGTGTGAACATCAAACATTTCCAGCTCTAGTCACAAATGTAGAGCCATTAGTTTACGCCATGAGGCAATTGGGACGTTTATTTAGCTTACGTACAGGCTTCCGATATAATTTGGCTGTTATGTGACAGGAAATCCTGTCGGCGATCTTTGAGGACCTGCAGTGGGGGGGGGGGTCCCCGACAACGCTCTACGCTACATTATGAGAGCCGGCTACGTAAATATTAGCGATTACGCTTTACGATAAATTCCAAGGGGCTACAACGCATTACTTAGAATTTAAACGTGAATTATGCTCTACACAAAATGCGTCAATTACGTTCTACGTTGAATAAGAGTGATCTGTATGCGCCCTACGTAGAATTAAAACGGCCGATTACGTTCTACGAAAAACGCCATGCAGGCCCCATGTTTATTTCAAAGTGTTTAAACCATTCGGCAGTGCGGGAGGTTCGGACATTGTTGACCGGTGGTTGGCTGGTGTCCAGGAGTAGATCAGCAGTATTCTGGGCGTGTTGCATGCGGAGGGATGGGGTCAAATTTGACTTCAAATTTAACCCAAGATAGCTAATTAGTTGCAACGTTTAAGTATAAATCTATCCCTTAGAAATCAATGTATTATTTGCCATATTTCAAATGGCTTGCGGACAAAGAGCAACTTTAATACATTACCAGAAAATCTGTTCGAGACTGACCCCTAGCTAGATTGGGGTGGGGTGGGTAACTTGCACGTACGGAGGGGCGAAGGCCAGCGCGGCTTTCACGTTTGCTCTGTCTTGTATCCAAGTCACTCCGTGAGGTGAATTGTGATTCAAGGCACATAGTGATTGCAGAGGCGTCAAAAATTCGATATACAACAGAACCGTGAAATGTTGCCTTTTTCGCCAAATGTTCCTATTCTGGAGAATTTTACAGCAGTTAAAATCGTGTAATAATACTGAAAACTCTCAGTTAAATGCACTCAATACCCCCCCCCCCGTCAATGGTATTGGTCCAGAAAGCGTGCCAACTCGACCTTCGAATGGTAGCATCAAATAAGTTTGCAATTCATGCCACGTCTGTCGGCTTTGTCTCAAAACAGGTGATGCGTTGAGACATTTTCGTGTTTTCTGACACCCTAACTTCTCTTACAGTCCCTTATTATAAGCTTGTAAAACACTTTTAAATATTTGCCCGTTTCTTGAAGTATTGCAACAGTTAGTAAGGCCTAGGAAAAAAGTTGCGTTTCTTAATTAAGTCCTGAAAAGGTAGGGCCTGTAGCAACCTATTTTTGAACCTTGGTAGTCCAGTGTGCTACCGGAATTTTAAGAATGCCCCCCCCCCCACGAAATCATGCCCACTGTATCCAGCAGATGCTTTTTTAATTTAAGGTATTAATGGCTATTGCATGTACCAGTATAAGTTAACTAAAGGCTGTTAGATATATTGTCAAAGGCTTATGTATGTAACATTTCAACCTAAAATTCTGATGGGCAACCTAATTTTTGCCAACCTGGTTTAAAAAAGTATTTTGTACACTGGTAATATCTATACAGGGGTTTGACTAAGCAGCTGGAGCTAGAAATGGTTGAAAAGCTCGAAAAAATGCTTCTTTATGTCCCTTGCACGGGTCCATCCCCCAAACCATAGTCAGGGGTCGGCAGGTTTTTCAAGGGTCGTTCGGTGTGGTATAGCTACTTTTTTGCGTTCTGGTGCCCTGTTTTATTGGCTTTTTCTGCCAAAGTCCTCAACAGCGCAGCCATTGTGAAAGGATCAGACGCCGCTTTCCTTCTTACGGCGTTTGCCTTTGCTTCCAGCAACATACCGCGGTTGGCCTGCCCCGACTCCGCACGTTCTAGCCGCTCGGTGCGCTCCTAAACCGCGTAATGAAAATTCCTGCAGAGTAAAAGGACACAACGGTCGAGTGTAACCAGATGAATCTGAACCGAAATGAACCTGATGCGTTGATTTACCGTCATGACAATCTTTATAAAGTCTTCACTTGCATAATTTGCTGCATTACCAAGGTCAGTCATCCGGAGACACAAATTTGAAATTGTCTTGACATTCGTCTTCCTACGGCTTATCAACATATCACAATCCATAAAGGCGTCCAGAAGTTATGATGGACACAGAGATGCAGGAACACATACATACACTCACACACACACACACAGAGAGACACAGACAGACACACACACACACAGACATACAGATATACAGAAAGACAGACACAGACAGACAGACACACACACACACACAGATACACCAAAAACAATACCTCCATTTTTCATGGAGGAAATAAACAAACCCGTCTCATATTGCATGTAACAAATGCTGTTTTCCCTGCAGAAATAAATGTTGGTCTCAACAAAAAGGCCTCACAGAGCAGTTTGCTGAGATCGGAATATCCTGCGGAACGAGCTGTGGACGGAAACACAGGAACCATTCTGTACCCTCTAAAGGAATGCACACACACGGACCTGGAGTACGAGCCGTGGTGGAAGGTTGATCTTGGAGACACTTACGTCATCAGTCACGTGACAGTCATTAACCGTGGAGACTGCTGTGGTGAGTAGATAGGAAACAGTTGGTTAATTATTATCAGTTTATATCTTTATGACTTTATGACAAAGGGTGGTATGTTACGCCGAAAGGCGGTTATACCGGCTAAAAAAACAGGCGTACATAATAACAATATGTTATATATGGTAATACATAAAAATCACATTTACTAACTTAAAGCTAAAAACACATTTACTCGGATGTATGGTTTTTTTTAATCAGTAGTGAACTTACAATGTTATTCATTTGTTGTTTTAACAGTTCAAATAGCGCAATACTACAACTTTAAAAGTATACGCTATCCTCCGACAATTTTTTGAGACCCCATACACATACCGTTTATAGTAACTAGTAACTAATGGTGACCACCGTTATATACTAACTAATAAGCCAAGAGGCTATCTTCACATCCTAGGATGTGACCGTCATTAGTAACTCAGTTCCTTACTAAGGAAGTTAACGGCCGGACAGTGTTGCACACGCAGTTATATGGGTAATCAGGAGTAAATTTCTTGGCCGAGGTCACCCGGTAGATGACCTCTAGTAGGTGTAATGGCCTGACTCGGACATTTTTTACTAGTATTCAGGATGAACATAAACACCAAGGCTGCTGCCACGAGATGTTTGTAATACTGTTAACGGAGTATTATTATAGCTTAGTTAAAGTACATGTACTTTCATGAGACCATCGACTGATGCGAAACAACGACGGGCAGATTGCATTTCGACTTTTTGGATGGATGTTTGTTTGACCCGATCCCTCGTCTTTTCGCCAACAAATCACGTCCAACTTTGATAAGGCATGTTATAAATTATATTAGGTAGGTATTTCTTGCCTGTTTTCACTGTATATATCGCCGTAGTTTTGAACATCTCAATATTATTTTATTTCTAAGCAGATTCTGTGGCGTAAGCGAGTCAATATTCCATATATTGCCCGGCTGTTATCCAAGCAGATGTTTGGGGGAGGGGGGGAGGCAGTATCAAATTGGTCAATCTGGGGAAATGGTTACAGACTGGTCAATTTAATACTTGGGGATTATCCATTGACCTCCTGCTTGGCTGGCCCATGATGCGATGGTTTAAACTAAGACACTTACAGGAGACCAATGAATAAATATTATGTAAAAAAAGGCATCCAATACTAGTATTGCCTCGTTTTTCCCACAGAATCTACTTGCAGGTTAAAGATTATTTTGTTTTCAACTTATAATTGCCGTACAAAATTATATCAGATTTGGCATAATTTGATGGTTTAGATTAGAATGTGAGAATGGCAAATTTATATTGACCTGTTAGCAGAGATAATGACTCGGATGTTGTTAGTTAACATTAATGTCAATACCACAAAAGAAAGATCAGTTATCCAGATGATGACACTAATTACATGTAACAAGTTACATGCTACATATCCTAAATCATAGTTCATACATGCATTCATTACCATATCTCTAGTAACAATATCAGTTTGAAAGTAACTTCAGTTTATCCAATCTATCGTGCTTGGGGCAGGCTGTCTTCGGGGCTCTAATAGTTTTCCCCCTGTCCAGCTCAACAGACCGCCCGGTATATTTGAATCATATGCCGCACACCAGGAGTTGATCCGCCCCTCCACAATCGAGCTTCAGCAGACCTGAAGAAAACCCGCCCAGCCACCTGGATACCAGGTTAGTGTGAAAGACTTTGTTGGTACTAGTTCTGTGGAATCATGTGGACCAGACCAGGTAGCGGATTCCGACTACCTTAGCTAGTTCTGCTTGTCAAATATGGTATCGGTATAGCAGCGGGATTTCCGCCCTTCAGCGTGTGCACACTACCTATAGCTAATTATAACTCAGCTTCTTCTGTCCAATTGCTAATTAGTAATTGCCAAAAAAAAAAGAAAGTTAGCTCATTATTGAACCTTAGCCACCAAATTCCATCCACATTTAAAAAAAAAGAAAGAAAATTGCAGAACCCACTCGAAAAACATATGTTTGTCTTCCACCGACTTCAAAAAGAACTCAAACATAACTACATGTTGTATTATAAGATTCATACCCCATTAATATACCTAGGCTATGTACTATAGTATGCGTACTAGTAACCGGTTGAAGTCAGTAAGGTTTAAAACCCCATGCTCTGTACACTTGGGACGACCTCAGCTCCCCTATTCTATCTCCAGAGAAGAACGTCGCCTGGTCAATATGTAAACCTTTACTGCAGATTTTTCTTGCAGCACATTGTTTCTGATATAATTACACACCTTTCTAATCTTGGTCAAGCAAGAAGACAATTGCCCTGTAGTACCTGTTGACTTTATGCAGCTGGATTTCCTAGACCTAGTCTTTTGTCCCATTCTCCTTGAATATAGCCTTGAGTTTCCCAATGTATGAATCCACCACCCACACAATCTCCACCACACACACACATATACCACTGACTGTACATACTGACACACACACACATACTACTGTACACACACGTGTGCGCGCACACACACACACACATACCATTGTAATGTACACACACACACATACTACTGTACATACACAGACACACATACTGTACACACACACACATACTAGTACGTTATACTGCTGTACACACACACACACACACTTCTGTACATATACACACACACACTACTGTACACACACACACACACACACACACTTTACATATACACACACACACACACACTACTGTACACACACACACACACACAATACTGTACACACACACACACACACACACACACACACACACACACACACACACACACACACACACACACATATACTACTGTACATACGAACACACACACATACTACTGTACACACACACACACACACACATACTACTGTACACACACACACACACACACACACACACACACATACTACTGTACATATGAACACACACACATACTACTATACACACACACACATGCTTACTTGCTTGGGGTGTAGGGGGCTCTGGGTAGAGGCTTTCTCCTTCCTACCTTGGCTGCCTGTCACACACACATACTACTGTACAGACACAAACTACTGCACACACACACACACACACACACACACACACACATACTACTGTACACACACACACACACACACACGCACACACATACATTGTACTACTGCACATACACACACACATATACTACTGTACAGACACACACTACTGCACACACACACACACACACACACATATATACAGGGTACAGACAGGTCATATTATTTGGATTACATTCAGTCATGTCTAGAGTGCTAATGGAATATAAATATGTACTTAAGTGTAAATAAACTAGATCAACATTTAAGACAGCATAGTATACGTATGAATCTGCTGCATAACTAAATCACCAGCTTAAAATTAAGTATAGAAATCCCGTACAGACCTTCTCTAGTCTGCTACAGAGCAACATTGTAGCAAGGTTTGTCGGCAAATGTAAGGTTTTTCTCACAAATTGCTGAAATTGTGGGTGTACTGGGCAATGTTTTGCTTATTTAACGGTCAACCCTGATTTTGACTGTAGTGGTATCTGCCAAAGGTTTTATTTATAATAATAAATGGTTTTTATTGTCCAAACAGTACCCATGCAGTCGCAGCCTTACGGCTGAATTGATGCAGGGTATCACACAATAATCAATACAAATCACAACAATTACAACATTCAAATAATACAAATGATACACACAGTCGCAAGGGTCTGTGCGGCTGCCATTCGGCGCCACAAGATGACCTCAATACGACTTTCCCCAACCGAAGTTAGGTACCCATTCACACCTGGGTGGAGTGAGGAAATTCGTGTAAAGTGCCTTTCCCAAGGGCACAACGTCGGGGCGCATGTTCAGACATGTACAGGGGGCTCGTCACTGAATGACATCCAGTAAATTTCTAGCGGGGACCAATCAGAGGGCTGCTGAATAATTTGAATAATTTATCAAGGCCCACAGACGCGGTTCTTTCACTTGTAAAGTAGCCAATTACCACCGAGCCGGTGGCACACGATGGGCGAAAACGTGTATTTCACACCCATTGTACGTCGACATAAAGCGCTTATACATTACAAACAGAATTTTCGTAGGACTGCCATTACTTTAGTTTGCAGCATGTGTATTGAGAACGAGTATCTTCATAATTCTGCTGGCTGTTTGTAGAAGAACGGCACAAAAAACAGTTTTCAATACCAACACGACTTAGCAGATAACACGTAATAAAGACCACTTTTTACGCAGATTGTAGCACTACGTAATGTTACACAAACTAACAGTAGATGTTTTAAGGAATTCACAGAAATGACAATGATAGATAATGTAACGCATATACATTATACAGCACAAAATAAAGAGTAACAGTAATGTAGTCGTCTTTGGCCGGGTATGGCAAGTTATAGTACGTACATGTATCGGTTCAATATAATCTTTAACGGGTAAGTTGACAGCAACAAGCAAGATGCATAGGTTCTACTACTTTTGTAGCTCACTTGCGTCTAGATTTGGGACGAACCCATGTTACTTTTTCGCCGCAGTTTTTCATGTAGTGGTTACTTCGACAGCCTTTCCGCTGACGCAAACATACTAGTTTGAGGTTCCACAGTTCTTACAACGTTAGCGCTTGAAGTGGTGTTTTCCAAGTTTGTTGGTCTGGTGTTGTCTTTGTTGGCTTGTTGTCTGTCATTTTCCTCCATTTTTATGTTTGGCGGCCCGTCTTCGATGGGTTGGGTTTGCTTCACAAATCTAGGCTTCGCTAAGATCCGTTCCTTCCCGTGCGTAGTGGTCTCTCCATTAGCGCTGGTGCAGCCACATTTGAATGTGTAAAACTTAATGTCTACAGTCCCGTTTTGATTCGTTCATCAAAGTAGATTTTACTAAGGTATGACTTTACTAACTGATTGTGGAAGTACTAGTACTTAGTACTGATGTAAACAAGAAACAATATACGCGCTCTGGTTGAGTTCATGGCATTTACATGAAACAAGGTGCTAATAGCCACTAGTCGGTGACGCGTCAGCAGCCCCATGATTGGTCCCCGCTAGAAATCTACTGGATGTCATATAGTGTACACGTACCAGGTACGACTCGGAATCGAACCCGGGTCTACCGGTTCACAGTCTATTGTTCTAACCACTACACCACCCGACGCCACCTTTATTTGTTGCATATCTAGGAAGATCATGCTGATAAATTGTTGCACTTAAATTTCCTTACTCCTATACAGAGAGAGGGGAGTAAATGAAGGCTACTGTTACACATTTACAATTATCACATCAGTGTTTGCAAAATCTTCACCACGGGTCATGGAAAAGCATCAGATTCAGACATACTTTTGTAACTGTTCTTCAATTTGCTTATTCTAATGTGCTGATTGATGTAAACATAATTCATGGACCATCAAGTGATCATTAGTTACTAGGTTTTTTGATCACTATATATCATCTCCTTGCATGACAGAATTATTACATGTGCATTATATTATTATTACTCTGTTTTATTTGTAGAAACTAAAACTCATGATTAGCCCCACTGTCTGAAATCTTTGATTTTCATATTCAAAACATGTATGTATGTCTGCATGTCAGTCATTGAAGTAGGCAAGTGAAAAAATACAATGAAACAGGCCTAGCCTATATATCTTAGTTTTCTTACAATAGTACTTGTACCATAGGAGCAACGGAGTCAACATACTAGACTAGTTTGTATTTAAACCAGCCAGGGTCACTGTAAGCCAGGAAGTTTTTTTTGTTTTTTTTTGCACAAGAATTGACAGTACTGGTATCTTAAGTAATTATGTTTGTTCAGGTTGATTTTGATGCCAGGTTTATGTTTAACTCTAAGTACAAGAAGCTTGAAGCTGGTGCATGATTTGACATTCTTCCCTCTTCCTGTCACAGGTGCCAGACGTCAACATACAGCTGAACTGTGGATACCAGAAAGCAGACCACACTGGGCCACCTCAAAGTCCTGGCTAGCTTCTCAAAGCTCAGTTCCTGGTAGGAACTGAGCTTTGAGAAAACAATGGCAATGAAAATTTGTGGAAACAAATGCAATTTATAGTACTGTCACAGGTGTGAATTATTGTCTTATGACTACTGTATGTGATCACATATTATTTCCCAAGAACTACTGATACTTGTAACCTTAAGCCAGCATTTTCATTGTCAGTTTTTGTATGAATATGAACAGATTAAGAAGTTCTTCAGTAATTCATACGTACATGTGTTGAGGTGCCTTCTCATAGTTATTGTTATTATATTCAATTATAGAAACATGTTTCGTTCCACCGAGATAGATAACATAACTACAAAAATTATATAACATTCTGAATTAAGATGAACTAGTGTTTATTCCATCCATAATTGATAACGGTAGCTATTTGTGCAAACTTCTCTGATTGAAAAGTGCCTCATGCAGGTTCATGAGTTTTCTCGGAGAACACTACATTCCCTACTGCATGCATGTTTTGTGGACTCAATGTGTGGCTTGTGCCACAGAAAGTTGCCCTTCTGTACGTCACTGACCCCTATGCTGTGAAAAAATCTGGTGAGAACCCTGTATTCTACTTGGAAAAACCATATGAAGCAATAGGATTGAGGAGAATGGTGAACATTGTAACAATGCTTTGAACATGCATGTACCTGTACCAATGAGGGAAATTTTACTGCATTACATGTGTACATGAAGGATTTCAAAGCTTGAATTGAAAAATCACTTTGCAGTTTATTCCCCTAATGTGAAAAAAATTGATTGAAAATCACTTGTAGCCCAGGTGCTGAGTGGTCATTGTGTGAATTATGTTGGTATCAGATTAACCATTCAGTGAAGAAGTTCCTAATCTTTTTAGGAATGGCCACATTGCAGGAACAAAGTTGAGCTACTGTAGAATCAGTCAAGTCAGGTTTAAGTCAAAGTAGTTTGGAGTATTTGTTCAGTCTTATGACTCCAGTACATGATGATGACCCTGTGGATTATTGATATGTGTAGCATTACGAGAAAGGTAGCTGAAAACACTGGTTTCACTGTCATGTGTGTCAATAAAATCACACAAATCTTGCTTTTCAGATGTTGTGTTGTGTTGAGTGTGTATTTTCCTAGTTATAATATGATATAAAATGAGAAACGTTGTATATGAACACAAAAGATCATTTCATGAATTACAGATGAACTAGAGTTTATTCACAATAGATAATAGTAGTTATTTGTACAAGTTTCCCTGAGGCAAAGAGGGTCTGTTACACTGACTGAACAAGGTACTGACTTTAAGTAGAAGCTGAAACCTTTCCATAAAGTCTCTTATCATTGGTTCACGCCTATCAGCATTCATTTTAGTGCAAATTTATCATTTCTGAAAGTCAACAAAATAACAGCGTATTATCCTGTACACCCAAAAGTCTTACGAACTCGTGTAACACTTAAATAACGGTTAGTGTAGTCAATATAGGCAACTGAGGGGTTGATGAGCTATAATGATTTCACAAATTACACGTTTGTCTTCTCTCACCGAAATATGACGTAGATCTGTGATATTCCATGATTTTAGCATATCGATTCAGAACGAATAATCCAATTAAATGCTTGGCGAGATAAAGAGTATCACCTAATAGTATATGTGCTCTGTGCGACCTTGAGCGTTCACGAGAGGAGGCGTCCAAAATACAGACGATTACGATAATTTGCACCGCATGTAAGCGTTTTTCTTTCTTAAACGAATACCTCACGTCGTATGTAATTCTATAGATTTATACAAGGCAAGGCTAATATACTTATCTAGCTGTCAAGTTAATAGACAGGCTTTTCTTTTATATCCCTTGTGAAGATACAAGGTATACACGGCATGCGAAGTGGCATGAGAAGTACGATTTTATCTCTAGATGGTTAAATGATAGTAACTCCACAATGAATTATGGTTCCGATAAGAGAATTTGGCTATCGGCTATCAAAGCATTTACAAATCAGTCCCCAGAATTTGAAAGAAATCCGTGGAGTTCTAAGCGCGCTATGACCGCCGATATGTTGCGGTTTCCTTGTGCAAGAAGACGTCCTCCCAACATTACAATTCTAGGACCGCGTCGCACCACCTTGGTCGCACAGAAGTGCGCTTTCATTCATAAAACGAGTAGGGTCTTGTCACCGGGACAGAACTCTCACAATACCAGGCTGATGTGCTGATCTAGCTGTGCTGTCAATAAAACTGCTAATTATGCCTTGTGAAAATACAATCTTCAATTGAGATGACATGTGAACTGTGATATATGAAGTAGTTATGGAAGTTAATCTCCAAAAGCTTTAAAGATAGTTAACTCAAAAATAAATTGTGATATTGGCATGGGATTTTGGGCATGGGGTGGGAACTCATTTGAAAATTAGTCACTCAACTTTGAAAGAAATGCGTTGAAGTCTTAGCGAAATATAACTCCCAGACCTCCTGGCAAGGAGGCGTCGTCCCAACATTGCGTTCCTCATAGACGATTTTAGGATCGCATCTCACAGAAGTGCGTTTCCCTTCATAAATTGATAAGGATCTTGTATATCCGGTTTAAACTTAAACAATACCAGGCTGATATACTGTCCTGGCTGTGGTATTAATAAATTTGCTCTTCCTTCATCTTTTGTGAGAATATAGACCATTCACCTGTCTCTAGTTCTAGGGGCGCGAAGTAGTAAAACGCGTTCCTACCAAGAATTCTTTAGAGCCAAATAGATCACTTTACAATCAACACAGGTACACCATATTTTAGACACGAATAGACTACGATACTCATTCATTCATTCTTTATTTCAGGTAAAAAACCCATATAACATGTACAATACATCGTTAAAATAATACAAAAACACTACAGACATACAAGTAAAACAGGAAGAAACCTAAAAGCATAACAAATGGTAGGTCTTCCGAAAGAATGAATTCCTGTAGAAGGCTTCGGAATGAATTAAGCGACAGATTGTTGCGTTATTGGAGGAAAATAACCTTTTTAGAAAAGAATAACAAATTCTCCTCCTCCTGGTTTCAAAAGTGTCAATATAGTTACAGACAAACATTTCACTCGCGCTGCAACGCCGAGGCAGATTCATTATGATTCTAAAACAATTGTTATAAGCCACTCTGTACTTATACAAAACACCAGAGCTTACAGAGCTCCATAGCTGAGCGCCATATAGCTGGGCGCAATACGTCATAAACAGGTGTCTCTTAACAGATGGAGAGCAACAGAAAAATTTGCGGTTGATACTGTTTGCACGACTATAAAGACTCTTCAGCATAGCAAGTACACAATCATCGTCACTTAATGTGGTGTTTAGATGTATACCCAAATAGACAAATGAGTTTACGTACTTCAGGTTGGTACCGTATAGACTTACAGGTGGCAATGGAAGCTGAAGTGGCAAACGAGTACATGGGAAATACATACAGAAAGTCTTATTAGTATTAAACAATATGTCATTACCATGGCCAACCACTTCACAAATCCCAACCAATCTCTGTAGAGATTTAATGCTAGGGCAAATCAGACATAAGTCGTCGGCATAAAACAGGTGGTTGGTGATGGACCCACCTACATAACAGCCCACCTTGGCATTGTTTAAGCTTACACTCAAATCATCTATGTATACATTAAAAAGATATGGGGACAGTAAACTACCCTGTCGTACTCCGTTAGTAACGGAGAAGCTCGGTGAAAGGACTGTACCCCATCTCACAAACATTCTTTGATTCGTATACCAGGAAACCAAGAATCGAACTAGATATAGCGGAACATTTCTGTCGATCAACTTTCTAAACAGTGTCCAATGGTTTACGCGATCAAAGGCCTTAGAGGCATCCATAAAGCACACAAAGACAGGGGACCCTAAGCCCCTGTAGTACTCGATAATTTGCTTTAACATAAAAACACACATGTCAGTCCCATGTTTAGGTTTAAAGCCAAATTGAGAATCAGACGTCAGAAGAAAAGGCTTCAGACGATTAAGCAGGAGTGCCTCTAGGACTTTCGATAATGCCGAAGTGATCGCAATTGGTCTAAAATTGTCAGTACAAGAGATGTTACCAGATTTGTTTTTTACGACGGGAACAATATAACTTTGAACAAAGTAACTTTGACCGTAACCCAAACCGTTCGTTAGTAATTAGACGAAAACCCGTTACAACTCCCCCATGCGATTTTGGTTCAAAGTGCAGCAAATAAATATTGGGAGAATTCAGGACAATTCCGCAACAAAATTGACTGATAATCACGTAAGACACCCATTATTGGTTAATCTTACTCGAATCGAATTAATCGAATTTTGCTATTTCATTGTTTGATATATTGCAAACAGTGTGTACAAAATTGCAATAAAGTTCATGGTACCTTCTGTGCAAGGATATGATACTTGAACTAATGAAAACTGCTGCCATTTATATTTAGTCATAAAAGATAACACAGGCCTTCAGAAAGGCTTGCCTTCAGAAAGGTTTGCCTTCAGAAAGGTTAATGTACAATTCAAGGTTAATTATCAAAGTATACAAGAATACCTTTTATACAAATTACACATCATTTGTGGTATGCTAGGTAAACAGTACATGTGTATTGTATATACAATATACCATCAACATTACCAGAAAGTGGTCAGGTCATTTTACCTAAAAATCAGCTGACATGCCTACATATGTCAAATGTGTTATCTTATCAACACTTTTTTTAAAACTAAATAATAGCCTTCTTTCCAGTTGGGCAAGATAGCTGACTAGTTACAGTGGTGCCTGCTTTCCTCTGTTCTCACTGCCCTGAGAGCAAGTCTTGTGCAGAAATCTTGTTGAAGCAAGCTTAAGTGCTTGATGACTTTGACTGTTCTTTTCTCATAGCTCTGCTTTCTTATTTGGCACAAAGCTTCATTTTCAATGCTTTCCTCAAAGGCGAAGTCCTCCCGGCACTCCTTGATGGCCCTGGAGAAAAATAGAATGTACATGTCTATTTACAGTTGCTAAGAATTAGCAACAAAATTCACAACAAGTGTGAAGAATTAGCAAACTAGTATACTAGTATTCTAATATTTACATAATTGAAGGCATTTGATAATCAAGAAAACTTGAGTATACTAGTATTCTAATTTTTAGATAATGAATCATTATACAAAATAAGTGATTTACCACTAGAATGACAGTTTGCTACCAGGCTACATGTATAACTTATAAATTATTTGCCAAACCTGTTTACTTACAGCTTACAGCTACCAGCACTGTACCTGTATGTCTGCCCTCCCCCTTCGCCCTTCACATGACAGGCAGAATGTTATTCAAAGTGCATATTGTGAAAATTTCATAGTGTATTCGAAATATTCGGGCCCATTTGATTCTAATCTGAATGTAATCAGAGCTGTTTTCAATGCTGTTAGAATGCAGTACATGTAAGAATCTCAATACCACCTGTTTGAGAACTGTTTGTGTTTCTGGATATTCTTAAAATTATCACTGGTTTCAAAATTTTTACATTTATGCTCATTCTTACATGTATGCCCAGCCTGACTGAGTGGAGACTGGATACAAGGCTATATTGAACAGTGAATTTTAACTGTAGCAGTATTAATCCATTTGAAATATCAGTGCCTTACCTGGTACCGAGATAGAAGGGCAGTACAAATATTTCCTGTTCGGTGCACAATTCACCTGCATCTGCACTCACTGGTACTACTAGTAGTTTTATATAAAAGTGTAGGCATATGTGGATTTTTATTTGCTGCATTGACTTTCACATTGTATTACTTTTAAGTTCAAAAGAAATCCTGGCAATTATTTCCAGTTTTCTGTGTAATCTATATAATTCCTATGTTCTGGGTGACAGTGAGTGGTACAGGTAAAATGTGTCTGGTGCAGGTAATTTTCAAAGTTAATGTAGCTTACTGGGGCAAAGAAAACTACTAGAAGCCCAGTTTAAGTTCCTTGTACATCAGCATGTGAAGCGGTTCCATTGGGACTCCTTCTGGTTCCCCAGTATTGCATGCTGCGACTCTCAATCCTACCCGCTGCCATTTCCTCTGCTTCGGCGTACTACAATACAATACAAAAATTGACAGAAACAAATATACATTATGTCATATGTCAAATATACATATGCGCATGGTAAATACATGTAGGTACGTATCAATTTACACATCATGACATTTCAGTAACTCCAAAACTACCTTTATCAGGGTCAGTTACTGATACATCAGCCTGGTAAGTGCCATACATATAATAGCCTAGGTTGTAGATCTTTTTTAAAACATCCACAATGCTTTTTCTTGCTTTGATTGATGAACTCTTGAATACAGTGAATTGTGTTTCAATGTATTAGTATATTACAGTAAAAAAAAAAAAACTTGCTTTCCCTTTTTGTAGGCTAATAGTATAACTTTGGATAACACCACAACACAGTACCAATTTGATGAGGATAGTTATGGAAGTAAAATATGCTTGATGGGGGATGATAATGAGTGGTGAGAAATGACTTTATCATTTCCCTTTAATTAATAACTAGGGAGTGACAACTCTGTTTAGCATAAACAGAATGAGGGTCAAAGAAACATGAAATAAAATGCAACTCATTAATCTGTTTATGACAAAATACATGAATTTTGAATTTAAAAAAAAACATTAAATGTTCTATTTTCTATTTAGATACATGTGTATAGGGAAATAGTAACCCATAATCAAACTAATGCTGTCTTAGTGACATGTATGGTCAATGATGTAATGTCCTTCATAATATGATACCAAGCTCATTCATGATACTACATCTAGTCAAGTTACAGTGTAACGTATATATTACTAGTATACATGTACTAGTAGTTTGATGCTGCCCAATACTATCCAAGCAGAGGTTTGGGTTTTGGGGGTATTTTAGCGTGTTTTCAAACTTTGGTGGGGAAAAAAATTCAGTGCAAAAGAGAAACCCCGTTAAAAAAGCCTAAAAACACGCTAGAAATACCCCCCCAAAACCCAAACCTCTGCTTGGAGAGTAGCTGCCCAACCCCATTCTGGAATGGAATCACCCGGGCGCGCGTACATTTGAATGCCGCTCCCACCCCCAATACACATACAGACACACACATACGTATACGTATATACCATTACCAAATCAAATGTATTACATAGGCAGTTGATATTTGACTACTGAAATCTTCTTTTGGCTGCTAGCCACATATCCATACATATTCACTGGCTATTTGCGAAGAAGAGAAAACAGTCCAGTCGTGCCTCAACGCAACGCGGATTTAGCACTTATTAAAACAACAGGGACTGAGAGTCCAGTGAGCTAGTGACTAACCTGCAGAATATGTAGCCTATCAAATGGTCCAGGAATTGGTCCAGGTCAGAGTAGAGATGAAGAGAAAATATAAATCGCCAGGCCGTCCCGTCTGTCGTCCATTTCAGCCAAGCCGGCAACCAACCGCAAGTCTAGTCTCGCATTATCTCGCGACGGATTTTACAACTCTCGCGAGGACTACACCCGACCGTTTATTTTCTATAGTAAAGCAGTGAGGTTACTAATAACGGTCACATCCTAGGAGGTGAAGAGAGCCTCTTAGCTTATTAGTTACTATATAACGGTGGTCACCGTTAGTAAGTAGTTACTATATATGGTATGTGTATCGGCTGTTTTTGAACAAAAAAGGGTTCTAAATGTCTAAAAAAATTAGTTTTTTAGACATTACACAACACCAGTTCTAAAAAGGTAGAAATACACCTCTTACAGGAGAACGACTGCGAAACTTCATGTTACGAGTCGGTCCTTATGAGGACTTCCGTGAAAATACACCATGTGGTGACATTTACTCGGAAATTCCATCGGAAGGAGAGACTATCGACGTGCGGTGTGAGGAGCCCATCTCAGGGAGGTGGGTGTCTGTCCAGCTGATCGGCCGGGAGGACTACCTGTCTCTGTGTGAGGTACAGGTGTTTTCAGGAACAGGTAGGATGATAGCACTTTTTGGTAGATGGTCAGGTCTCATTAACTTTTATATTGCCCCAGCAGAGTCCCAAATATAAACTGTCCCGAGGTGAGGATGAACTGTATTGATGTGAGGATAAAAGTATTGAATGACTTTATCTTTAAGTCAACTTAATTTTGCTTATTGTTCACTCCCAGGTACACAATAATTGCAAAGTAGACAGAAAATTCAGGGGAACATTTCAAAATTCCGGGGAAAGTTCCAGATCCAAAAGCCTGATAAACAATTAAAGAAGGGCAAACATTCTGATGTTTATCATTTTTTGTATTGTCCCAAAAAAAGTCCAAAGGTATCTTTTTTCATTTGTCCAAGCCAAAATTTGAGTAGAATGTGGCCAATGGGCCACATTTAATTTCGATCACTAATGTTGCTAAGTATTTATAATTGCCACAAATGCTTACAATCTTACAGTCATTGAGTAACAAATATGAGTAGGTAGTTTATTTTAGTCAATTAGATATTGTACTGAAATATCAAAAGTTCAGCAAAGTTTCCAGTGCGACCCAGTCAGCCTTTTTTTAAATGAGTCAAATTTATCAGAAAGATTACCATTGCGCAAAAACATATTAATTAGATACTTCCAATAATTTCACGCGAGGCTGATTAAGAAAATAAGTAGTTTTTTTCTATATTTTCAAACTGTAAAAATTATATGTTTTAGTTATCATAAGATCCAGCTGTGTCGATATCTGTTGATGTTTCAGACCAACCAGTCGCTCCTTCCATCACACATCCTCCAGTAGACACAACAGGTGTTGATGGTGACGTCATCACTCTGTTTTGTGAGGCAAATATGAAGCTCAACATCCTATGGCAAAAGGGCGGAAGGACAATCATCCCAGGTGCCCGGAACAGATATGACGTCATAGAGTATCATAATGGACGAGCGTCTGCGCTGAGAATAGACCCCCTGCGAAGCCCACGTGATAATGACACATTTACGTGCAGAGCGGAAAGCGTCAACGACGGGTCTGTAGTAGAGGCTAGTGCGGCAATCAACATATTAACAGGTCAGAATAGGCTGAGAAGTTTAAGTTTATGTCATATACATGTATTATGGATAATGACATAATTAATGGATGGAATGTAATGTTTAACCACATCCAACATAAACTTTACAGTAAAGTACTTAGCACCTGCATAAAACAACCTTTATGTTTAAGCCTACTATACATAACGTGGATTAACTTCATCTACTATAATTAACCTTTCACAGAGGGCAGTCTACCAGCTGGCTTCCCTGATATAACCTGGCAACCTCAACTGAAAGCAGTAGAGAAAGGCCGCCCGACGGTTCTCGTGTGCAGTGCAAGTGGAGACCCTGCACCTGACATCACCTGGTTGAAAGATATGGTCCCAGTAGACATGACAGACGATCGGATAAAGCTTTTGAGCTCAGGTGTGTATTGCAAAGAAAAGAGTCATGCAGTGTTTTTTTTTCCTTTTTTTCCTAAAATTGTCTGAAAAGTCCATACCTTTTGTGGCAACAATGCAAACAACAATGGCAACATCACCAGCGTTAAAATTATGCTAAGTAGGTTACACATTATTATGTGATGTGTCTTCATGACGCGGGTTAAATCTTGTAAATGTGATCACAAGATGGAACTGCACATTGGTGTCGTTTTTCAGGTTCTCTTCAAATCAACAGTACCCGTGAGGAAGATGAAGGCACATACGAGTGTGTGGCTACCAACAGCCTGGGCACGCGCTACTCTTACAAAGCCAACCTATATGTTCGGGGTAAGTTTGATTTATTGAAATTGCAACAGTGCAATACACCCGGAACAGAGGCAGCTGTTGCTGGTGTTGTCCCGCACATAGAAACGAATACTGGACAGACAATACTCATTTTCAATTGAGTCTAGTGGGGAAAGTCGTGTAAAGTGCCTTTCCCAAGGGCACAAGATTGGTGGCATATCAGGACTCGAACCCAGAACCTCTTGATTCCGAGTCGCGCACGCTGCCGTTGCGCCACACGACCCCACGACGGGGTAAGTTTGGAAGAATAACGGTATATCTCGCAGTGACGTACTTTACATGGCAGAACATAGAGAAAGAGATGATGTGTGATTTATGAAGCCTGTAGATACAATGCCATTCTAATATTACTCGGATACTATTGGTAGACGTATAATTGATCTGTTGATGTCATTTGTGTTGCCCTGTTTTTCTACAGCTGTTCTTAGTGCACAAAAATAATTCATTATGGCTTGGATTCAGTATGTGATGATACGTTATTTTGTCCGTGCTTTTTACAGTACGCAGAGTCCCACCTTATTTTATCACCACTCCGGAAAATGTTGAGGTCAACCGAGGAGACGACGTTAACCTCACCTGTGTGGCTTTTGGCTCTCCCATGCCTTTTGTACAATGGCTTAAGGACTACGAGAATGTTGAAGAGCAAACTTCACAGAATGGACGGAATATTCTTCAGCTGGAAAATTTAGTCGAAAGCGCCAACTACACCTGTGCAGCTTCAAGCGAGTTGGGTTTAATCGAACACAAATCACAAGTGACAGTTAAAGGTAGGTTTTATTTCTTAGACAAAAGTCATTAATGATTGAATTCATTTAGATTCATTTGAAAATGTTTAGAGATAGTTTGGGGCGTTTGCAACGTAATTACGAACAGTACGTTGACACGGTCTATTTACATAAATCATCATCATTTTTGCATAAATAGTGACCTTTATTGTATATTTGTCCGTATCGATTTCACACTTATAGTAGTTTTTTTTCAATTTGCTGATCAGAAGTCAATTCTTATGCTTACTTTTACCTACTCTATAATGTAATGAATAACGTAGTTGCTTATCGTTTCTTTGCATTGTCACCTAAGATGCAATAATGGCTAAGTATTACTAAACTCTTAAACATCTACAGATTGATATTGAAGAAAATGTTGATGTCGGCTAATGTACCTTAATAAAAAATCTTAATTTATGGCATATTTGTTAACGGTATGAATTATAATTTTAAAGGTTATTTTTCTTAAATATATTATTACAAAAATATCTAATGAGTCAGTAGCCACCATAGACTATAATCGCATCATTTTAAGATGACACCTGTGACTGTTTGGAACCTGCAACCAAAGATTTTCTGAATTGAGGGGATTTCTGTTGATGTTTCAGTCGCTCCTTCCATCACACATCCTCCAGTAGACACAACAGGTGTTGATGGCGGCGTCATCACTCTGTTCTGTGAGGCGAATGTGAAACTAAACATCGAGTGGAGAAAGGGCGACAGGACAATCATCCCAAGTGCCACTAACAGATATGACGTCATACAATATCAGCATGGACGAGCGTCTGCGCTGAGAATAGACCCCCTGCGAAGTCCACGTGATAATGACACATTTACGTGCAGAGTGGAAAACGACAACGACGGGTCTGTAGTAGAGGCTAGTGCGGCCATCAACATATTAACAGGTCAGAATAGGTTGAGGAAATTAAGTTTATGTCATGTACATGTATTATGGATAATGACATAATTAATGGATGGGATGTAGTGTTTAACCACATCCAACATAAAGTTTACAGTAAAGCACTTAGCACCTGCATAAAACAAGTACCTAAGTAAGAATTACTTATTTTATTGATATTTGTTCATCTCTGAAAGTCATGTTTCCATTTTGATAACAAAGAAAGGTACTGATGACCACCACGTCCTTGATTTGCATGTACATAGACCGTGCCAAAATATATGCGTCGTTTTTGTGTTTTTCTTTCCTTTAGTATGCTAATAATATTCTTGAGGTTTCTTCATGGCATGTTCCAAAATACCAACTGAAAGTGATGAAATGCAAATAGCTGCATCCACCTTTATGTTTAAGCCTACTGTACCTAACGTGGATTAACTTCATCTACTATAATTAACCTTTCACAGAAGACAGTATACCAGCTGGCTTCCCTGATATAAACCGGCAACCTCAACTGAAAGCAGTAGAGAAAGGCCGCCCGACGGTTCTCGTGTGCAGTGCAAGTGGAGACCCTGCACCTGACATCACCTGGTTGAAAGATATGGTCCCAGTAGACATGGCAGACGATCGGATAAAGCTTTTGAGCTCAGGTGTGCATTGCAAAGAAAATGTCATATAGTGTTTTTTTCTGTTTTTTGTTTGTTTTTTTTTTGCTAAAATTGTCTAAATAGGCCATACCTATTGCGGCAACAATGCAAACCAACTATGACAACATCATCGACGTTATATGCTAAGTTGGATACACATTTCCTCTGTATGACGCGGGTTATACATTGTAAATGTGATCACAAGATAGAGCTGCTTATCGGTGTCGTTTTTCAGGTTCTCTTCAAATCAACAGTACCCGTGAAGAAGATGAAGGCACATACGAGTGTGTGGCTACCAACAGTCTGGGCACGCGCTACTCTTACAAAGCCAACCTGTATGTTCGGGGTAAGTTTGGAAGAACAACGGTTTATCTTGAAGTGACGTACTTTACATGACAGAACATGGAGAAAGAGATGGTGTGTGATTTATGAAGCCTGTAGATACTAACAATACCATTCTGATATCACTCGGATACTATTGGTAGACGTAAAATTGATCTATTGATGTCATTTGTCTTGCCCTGTTTTTCTACAGCTGTTCTTAGGGCACAAAAATCATTCATTATGGCCTGGATTCAGTATGTGATGATACGTTATTTTGTCCGTGCTTTTTACAGTACGCAGAGTCCCACCTTATTTTATCACCACTCCGGAAAATGTTGAGGTCAACCGAGGAGACGACGTTAACCTCACCTGTGTGGCTATTGGCTCTCCTATGCCTTTTGTACAATGGCTTAAGGACTACGAGAATGTTGAAGAGCAAACTTCACAGAATGGCCGGAATATTCTTCAGCTGGAAAATGTAGTTGAAAGTGCCAACTACACCTGTGCAGCTTCGAGCGAGTTGGGTTTAATCGAACACAATGCACAAGTGACAGTTAAAGGTAGGTTTTATTTCTTAGACAAAAGTCATTAATGATTGAATTCATTTAGATTCATTTGAAAATGTGAAGAGGTAGTTTTGGGCGTTTGCAACGTAATTACGAACAGTACGTTGACACGGTCTATTTACATAAATCATCATCATTTTGCATAAATAGTGACCTTTATTGTATATTTGTCAGTATCGATTTCATACTTACAGTAGTTTTTTTTCAATTAGCTGATCAGAAGTCAATCTTTATGCTTACTTTTACCTACTCTATAATGTAATGAATAACGTAGTTGCTTATCGTTTCTTTGCATTGTCACCTAAGATGCAATAATGGCTAAGTATTACTAAACTCTTAAACATCTACAGATAGATATTGAAAAAAATATTGATGTCGGGCAATGTACCTTAATAAAAAAATCTTTATATATGGCATATTTGTTAACGGTATGAATTATAATTTTAAAGGTTATTTTTCTTAAATATATTATTACAAAAATATCTAATGAGTCAGTAGCCACCATAGACTATAATCGCATCATTCTAATATGACACCTGTGACTTTGTTTGGAACCTGCAACCAAAGATTTTCTGAATTGAGGGAATTTCTGTTGATGTTTCAGTTCCCATTTCCATCACACATCCTCCAGTAGACACAACAGGTGTTGATGGTGACGTCATCACTCTGTTCTGTGAGGCGAATATGAAACTAAACATCGAGTGGAGAAAGGGCGGCAGGACAATCATCCCAAGTGCCCGAAACAGATATGACGTCATAGAGTATCAGAATGGACGAGCGTCTGCGCTGAGAATAGACCCCCTGCGAAGCACACGTGATAATGACACATTCACGTGCAATGTGGAAAACGTCAACGACGGGTCTGTGGTAGAGGCCAGTGCGTCCGTCAACATAATGAAAGGTCAGAAAAGGCTCAGCAATTTAAATTTCTTGCTAGTTCTGTAATATCATGGACAACGGTTAATGAGATTGTATGATGTCATTTATTATAAATTATAACAGAATTAATGGGTGGCATGTGCTGTTTTACAGTAAACCCACATAACCTTTACAGTAAAGCACTTAGGTCCTGCATGAAACAAATACTTATTAAGTAACAATTACTTATTTAATTGGTGTCTGTACATCTCTTTAAGTCATGTTTCCATTTTGATAATAATGACATGTGCTGACCACCACGTTCTTGATTTGTATGTACACGGACCGTGCCTCAAACATTCGCGTTTTGGTGTTTTGTCTTTTAGTATATACTGATGATATTCATGGCATGTTCCAAAACACCCAACTAAAAGTGATGAAATGAATTTAGCTGCATCCACCTTTATGTTTAGGCCTCCTATACCTAACGTGGATTAACTTCATCTACTATAATTAACCTTTCACAGAGGGCAGTATACCAGCTGGCTTCCCAGATATAACCTGGCAACCTCAACTGAAAGCAGTAGAGAAAGGCCGCCCGACGGTTCTCGTGTGCAGTGCAAGTGGAGACCCTGCACCTGGCATCACCTGGTTGAAAGATATGGTCCCAGTAGACATGACAGACGATCGGATAAAGCTTTTGAGCTCAGGTGTGCATTGCAAAGAAAAGAGTCATGCAGTGTTTTTTTTTTCCTTTTTTTCCTAAAATTGTCTGAAAAGTCCATACCTTTTGTGGCAACAATGCAAACAACAATGGCAACATCACCAGCGTTAAAATTATGCTAAGTAGGTTACACATTATTATGTGATGTGTCTTCATGACGCGAGTTAAATCTTGTAAATGTGATCACAAGATAGAACTGCACATTGGTTTCGTTTTTCAGGTTCTCTTCAAATCAGCAGTACCCGTGAAGAAGATGAAGGCACATACGAATGTGTGGCTACCAACAGTCTGGGCACGCGCTACTCTTACAAAGCCAACCTGTATGTTCGGGGTAAGTTTGATTTATTGAAATTGCAACAGTGCAATACACGCGAAACAGAGGCAGCTGTTGCTGGTGTTGTCCTGCACATAGAAACGAATACTGGACAGACAATACTCATTTTCAATTGAGTCTAGTGGGGAAAGTCGTGTAAAGTGCCTTTCCCAAGGGAACAAGATAGGTGGCATATCAGGACTCGAACCCAGAACCTCTTGTTCCGAGTCGCGAACGCTGCCGTTGCGCCACACGACCCCACGACGGGGTAAGTTTGGAAGAATAACGGTATATCTCGCAGTGACGTACTTTACATGACAGAACATAGAGAAAGAGATGATGTGTGATTTATGAAGCCTGTAGATGCAATATCATTCTGATATCATTCGGATACTATTGGTAGACGTAGAATTGATCTGTTGATGTCGTTTGTGTTGCCATGTTTTTCTACAGCTGTTCTTAGTGCACAAAAATCATTCCTTATGGCCTGGATTCAGTATGTAATGATACGTTATTTTGTCCGTGCTTTTTACAGTACGCAAAGTCCCACCTTATTTTACCATAACTCCGGAGAATGTTGAGGTCAACCAAGGAGACAACGTTAACCTCACCTGTGTGGCTATTGGCTCTCCTATGCCTTTTGTACAATGGCTGAAAGACTACGAGAATGTTGAAGAGCAAACTTCACAGAATGGCCGGAATATTCTTCAGCTGGAAAATTTAGTAGAAAGCGCCAACTACACCTGTGCAGCTTCGAGCGAGTTGGGTTTAATCGAATACAATGCGGAAGTAACAGTTAAAGGTATGTTCTATAGTTAACATGCTATGGCTAAGAAAACCTTTTAATTTATTTAGCCAAAAGTCACTAATACCTTAGTTTCAAAATTCTATATTGTATATTAACTCATTGGAAAATCTTAAGAGGTAGTATTGAAGGGCTTTTGTATTACGTATACTGTACGTAGACACGGTCTATTAAAGAGTAAGCTCTATTGTATATTTGTCCGTATCGATTCTATACGTTTCAAATTATTTCCAAATTTGCTATTTGTTAAAATACTTTTTATAAGCCTACCTTTACCTACCCTATAATGTAATAAATAGGATAGTTGCTTGTAATTTCTTTGCATTGCAACCTAAGATGCTATAGCTAAGTATACTGTTTAACATCCACAAATAAAATATTAAAAAGGCTAAGAGTATGCCTAAACAGTAAGAAAGGTAAGTGATACTTTTAAGTAATGTATGGGTGTTTCAAAAACAATTGTTATAAAGAAACATTGAAACATTGAGTGTTTCTTGGGAACTACACTGAGATATTGATACACTTGATACAGTAAAAAGGAAACCAGCACTATTAACCATCAGATGTAATTTCTCCCCTTGATTTCTTTACATGACCACCCAAGATACACTCCCTATGGTGGACGGTTATACCGCCCGGCGCGGGGGCTGCCCTGGAAATGACATCTGGATTATTTACGCCCGCTCCACCACGTTAGAACAGTGTGCTCGGGAGTGCACAATACATCCACGATGTGTTGCCTTCCAGTTCTTTGATAACCACGAATGCTACCCAAAGTCCAAGTCTTGTGAGGAAACTGTGAAGACAAACCCAAAGAACGTTTTGTATGACAAGATTGTTGGTGAGTAACATTGAGCTAGTTTACAATGCCAGATACGCATGTAAGTAGTTTTTGTCTAGACATTTTTTTTTTTGCTGAAAGCATACAGATTATATCTAAGGAACTTTATTATCTAACCTACTGCATTCTTTAAATATTCTAAAACTCTGTCGACGCTTATTTTTGTTAGAAAACAGCTATTCTTGGTGGAAAAAAGGAAATATTCAAACAATACCCCTCTCCAAATTTTCAAAATCAGCGTCACGGTTCTTCATTTTCTTTTACACATATTATTTAAAAACATAAACTGTAAGCTGTGTAAATTGTTTTCTCCTGTTACGACCAAATTTCTAGTTTGGCTAAAAAAACAACTGCCATTGCCTTATGGTCACATTATAAATCTAGTATACTCTTGTATTACACGTTCACATATTTATATAATTCATTACTTAAAACTTCGTATACTATAAAACATCAAAATCATTATATTAAAAAACTATACAATATTAAAATTAATAGTATGCTAACCCAGGGAAGTTTAACCCTTGTCCTGCTGGCAATTTTTACACAATATTTTCAAATAATTTCATGTCTTAATCAGGTCACAGACCCTTGACTTTTTTTGCCCTGCGGCGGCGTAGTTACTTCCGCATTCGTTGCGTTTCGCTGCGGTGTGATGCGTTGCACGAGAAACACCCCCAAATCGCACATATACAGGGCACTATATAGATGGTACTTTATTAAAAATAATTGTATGGACGGGACTAATTGGTACTAAAACCTGTACAGGGTCCTGCATGGATTATGAAAAGATTTAATACTGGAAAAAAATTAACCGTTGTTAGTAACTAAGAAATGTCGTACCTATTTTTTCTACATGACCACTCAAGATACACTCCCTATGGTGGACGGTTATACCGCCCGGCGCGGGGGCTGCCCTGGAAATGACATCTGGATTATTTACGCCCGCTCCACCACGTTAGAACAGTGTGCTCGGGAGTGCACAATACATCCACAATGTGTCGCCTTCCAGTTCTTTGATAACCACGAATGCTACCCAAAGTCCAAGTCTTGTGAGGAAACTGTGAAGACGAACCCAAAGAACGTTCTGTATGACAAGATTGTTGGTGAGTAACATTGAGCTAGTTTACAATGCCAGATACGCGCCAAACATGTAAGTAGTCTTTGTCTAGACATTTTTTGCTGAAAGCATAAAGATTATATCTAATGAATCAGCGTCACGGTTCTTCATTTTCTTCTACACATATTATTTAAAAACATAAACTGTAAGCTGTGTAAATTGTGTTCTCCTGTTACGGCCATATTCCAGTTTGGCTAAAAAAAAACACAACTACCACTGGCTTATTGTCACAATATAAATCTAGTATAGTCTTGTATTACATATTTATATTAAACTAATATATAATTCATTACTTAAAACTTCGTATACTATGAAACACCAAAATTGTTATATAAAACAATACATAGTTTAGTGAAAGTATGCTAACACAGAGAAGATAATGTTTTTTTATGAAAAAGGATTGTATGGGCGAGAACATGTTTTTACTTACAACTGTATTAGAACCTGCATGTATTAAGAAAAGATGCTGTAAAAAATTAAACAGATGGTAGTAACCAAGAAATGTCGTAACTGCTTTTTCCACATGACCACCCAAGATACACCCCCTATGGTGGACGGTTATACCGCCCGGCGCGGGGGCTGCCCTGGAAATGACATCTGGATTATTTACGCACGCTCCACCACGTTAGAACAGTGTGCTCGGGAGTGCACAATACATCCACGATGTGTCGCCTTCCAGTTCTTTGATAACCATGAATGCTATCCAAAATCCAAGTCTTGTGAGGAAACTGTGAAGACGAACCCAAAGAACGTTTTGTATGACAGGATTGCTGGTGAGTAATATTGAGATAGTTTACAATGCAAGATACGCGCCTACCAGCTCAAGGTCTTTGTCTGGACCTATTTTGCTGGAATCATAAATGTTATATATACGGAACTTTATTATCTGACCTGCTACATTCTTTAAATATTCTAAAACTCTGTTGACGCTTATTCATTTTTGTTGGAAATCGGCTATTCTTGGTGGAAAAAAAGGAAATATTCAAACGAAACCGCTCTCCAAAATATTTAAAATCAGAGTGAAACTCTTCCTTTTCTTTTGCACTTATCACTTAAGAATAATAACTGTAAGCTGTGTAAATTGTGTTCTCCTGTTAGCATAGAAACACATTTTTCTTTATTTCTGTCATTTAGCAAACAGCCATAACAATACGACTATATTTCTAGTTTTTCTAAAAAAACAACTACCATTGGCTTATTGTCACAATATAAATCAATTATACTCTTGTATTTCATATTTATTAACTTATAATTGATTACATGAAACATCAAAATTGTTATATAAAACTATACATTACTTAGTAATAGTATGCTAACACAGGGAAGATAACATTTTTAATGGCTTCACCACAATGCGGTAAGGTCATATTGTTTTTCCTCACGTTTCTGTTTCTCCTCCTCCTTCTTCTCCTGCCATTTATTATGTTTACCGAAGGAAAACATATTATATTTGCTCATTTCCTCCTCTTCTTCTCCAAACACCTAAAAATCGTAGATATTTTCGTAATTAGAGCCTGGAGGAAAATGAAATTCAGCATGCTAGTAGGTTGATACGTTAGACATTGAACCTTGGTCATTTTGGCCAACATAGATGTCAGAAAATGATTTTATTGGCAAAAAATGGGTAAAAAAAGTTGCATTTTAAGCCAAAAATCGAACAAAAAGAACGCGTTTGGAACATTCGAACAACCATGGAACAATGGAACAGCGTGTTCGATAACCGCGGGTCATTGACCCTAGCGCTACGCACGGAACACCCGAGCTTTCCAAATATGGGCATCCGCCCTTGTATGACACGAGAAGACATCAGTGGACCAATGTAGCGGTAAGTTTTCATTTTTCTTCGTAAAATACGGTCATATGAATACCAGTCTCGAGTAGAGAATATTGCATTGGGATTTTGGGTTCAATATCCACAATTAGGACTGCAGATTTCCACAGAACGCGGGAGACTTTGTTTAACTTTTTGCATGTCATCGCCGGCTCAAAAAAAAAAACACTAGCAATTAACTAGCCGGCTCAAATCTAAAAATTATGCTCTAGTAATTTACTAGCTCCTGACTTGATAGAATCTCGTATGTTTAGCGATTTAGGCTTGTTGCTGTTTTGAAAATAAATTAAACAGAATTGTGTTCATCCGTAACTATTGTCGACTTTGTAATTATGTAGGTGCGGGGCAGGGGGAGGGGGCGGTTTGTTTACGTTTATTACTCATGATATAACAATTAACATGGATACTAGTATAACATTACATTTTGTCGTTTTGTCAGACAGTTTCAATCTTTTTTCGGGATAACACAGTACAGTACACGGGATAAGCATCAAATCGGGATTCATGGCGATATCCCGCGGGATTTTTCGGGAACCATGTTGACTAAGATTTTTACAGACAGACGGTGCAGCGCATGTTTGTTTCCAAATTATGCATGATGATAACAGTAGCACAAACGAATAGTGTTTTTTAATCAAATGTTTGTTTTTTTTGATATCGAAAATTTTAGTGGCTTAATATTGTTTAGAACGATAACAAAATAATACAACCGTCTTGGTACGAGAATTTTTGTCTGACCTTGCGATGTGGACGGCCCGCTAAGTACTGCTTTTGATGTCACCCGACCCGCGCTATCTCAGATATAAAATCGATCTAACACAGCCACTCGAGAAGTTCTTCTCCTAGATATGGGAGGTCGACGCACGGAGTTGCGGAAGAGAGATTAAACATTATACAAAAGAGGGGGCGAAGCATAATTCCAAGGTTCTTTACGCCCTTGGCTTGTTTACGACGATCAAGAATTGATACATTTCGTGTTGCTGGGACTGGCACATGTTGCCATAGAAACGACACGCAGCATAGCTAGCAGACCGCGCGGCGCCAATCACAGCACACAGACGGGGACCCGCCCACTGGCTGGGAGGTAAGATTTCAAACTCAAAGGCTCGATTCTCCGCCCCAGAGACTTCTGCCGCCTGACGTATTGTAGCGATTTTCCGCCTCAGCCCTGCACGCGGCATTCTATTTTTCTCATCCCGATTTCATTCCAAAACGTTTTTCACAAGTGACATCGAGAACTAGAATGCTTTTTCCACCGGAAGAATTTTTGCCAGCCGCATTGAAGAACTTGCTTTCAGGGTAATACGTACGTGAATGAACGTGGCCGGATCGTTGTTGATTGTTGATGCAAGGGTTTATTCATACGTGTTTGGGGAGGGGACTGAGACGCATGCCCCGATTTTGATGGGCAAACTTTCCTAATTTTCGTAATACAGAGACTACTTGACGCTCACGAGAACACGAGAAGACTTCAACAAGCCAATTTAGTACAATATGTCACAATGAAACACAACTCCAGCCGGTACGCCCCGTTTTATTAGATGGTTTATAAACTTGACAGATTGTTTATATATAAAACTTGCCGAAAAATTCACTGGAGACGAAGAGGTTATTACAAATTCATTCCTGCTATTTTCTTACAGTTTTGTGAGTTTTCGCTGCACAAGAGCTTTTTAAAAATTTAGCAGTTCAACTATGACCGGGTGAGGAACGCGTTGTACACAATATACACAATTATGGCAATGTTGACTGACGTCAGGGTGCTCCATTGGCCCTGCCCAGATCGCCCGACAGGACGTAAAACATTTGGCACGCCGCCATCGGTGATAGGACCCGCGGTAGACTTTGAGATCTCGCATCAAGTTTTGTTTTTTTCGCTCCGCGGTACGCAAGACACGCGGATATCTCGCGGGATTTATCGGGACGCCTATCCCGAAAAATTCCGCATCCCGATGATGCATATCCCGTGAAGTTAGCTCTCATAATAAGGATAATTTCCTATAGGAATTTGACAGAAGAAATAGTGTTGGGGCTTCAATATATATGAAGAAATATGTGAACGTCTGGTTTCACTTAATTTGTAACTTGAGTCTTATGCTTGCGTTGTTATTCTTTCATTGCATACAGACAACAGTGTTCTCTGTATTAACAAATTGGTCTGCTGTAAAATTTTGATATATATCATATACCCCCTTTGACATATATTATATACCTCTTGGACCCGACTGATATATTTATACATTTGTATACATATGTATTATGCTTTCCTTTTGTGGTCCAATGACTTAGACATATATTATCAGTTTCTGCTCACTTTGCTTACTCTCCTTTTTGTATCCTCTACTAGGAAAGGAAGCAGAACTTGGTCCGTGAGAAACTGGGGAGGAACCTAACAGAGCTGAACCCAGCCATCCACAGAAGGATACAGCACATACATGCACATCGCTACCATTTCGAAACACATTATATCTCCAATTTGGCCAGTAAATATTCATTATGTATGTTAAGTTGCATAATATATGTAAGTCATGTATAGCTTTTTAAGTATGTATGTATGGTTTTATAGTAGTGTGTAGTTCCAATATTTTACACAACTGTAGATTTTCATCATCATTGCAATGATTTTCATATTAATGTTCAAAGAACACTTATTATAGAAGTGGGTATAATTGACTGGCTCGGCAATCAAAAGAACCCAACAAAACTGGCTTGATATATATCTTATGTACTGTAGTATAAAGACTAAAGTGTACTATAGGAATTGGTTCTTCATATCATTGTATGTCATTTCATTATATGTATATGATATACGTACTTACAATGAGCCTTCTGTCATGTATTTGTAATAATAATAAACTTATTATCATTATTATTTCAGCATACGTCCTGTTTCCTATTTACAAAAATGTAATAAGGTTGTGAGACGAGCTCAACAAAGTCGTTTGTAATTAAAGCTGTCAAAAAGACTTGAAGTTTACTTGCAGTCTGCAGAGGATGTCATTGATTAAAGTTACATGCTGTGGCCTAATTGCAAACATGGTAAGGGTGTGTGCTGATTGTATAATATATACTAGTATCTCCTATACATGCCACTACAAGACTAGTCTATGGTAATGATGTTTGAGTGGCAGACCGGTAGATTTTAAACTTGGCCTTACAACGGCAAAAACATTCAAATTCCCCAGTTATAACGTTAATGTTACTCTATAATAACAGTACATAAAAGTCAGTAATATAAGCAAAATATCCTTCTACCCATCCTTTCCCAATAACGGTATAACGTTAAATCGTAGGCAAGACCATCCTGAGGTAAACATATTGCATTTGCTTGCAAATGTTACCTTTCTAGTTTAAATTGATTCAACTCCTTCATTTTGGGGCCAATAACATGAAATTTGGCATAAAGGTAGAGTGGGCAAATACCCCCAGGTATTTTTTTTTTTCATTTTGTGATACAGGCTTTTAGAATGGTTTTACTTGAGCTTTTTTGCTGTGTTATAGAAAATTTACTATTATGATAGCAGTGTGTTACCATATTTGGGCACGAGTCATCATTATGGCAGGAAAAGCAAGCAACCAATAGGCATGCAGCTTTCCTATATTCTTCTTGCTGATTGGCTGTTCGGATTTGATTGGGTTAACTCAATTAACCCCTGTACAAAGCCATTCCATATTGACAGTATTATCTGCATTCAAGTGTCTTGAAAGGTATGTCAGGCTTTCCTGTTCCAGCATTGGAATGCGAGGCATAAAGGCTTCTTTTTATCTTTAGAAACAACAGTTTGCATTATGCAATTAAAAATACTAATAGTTAACCAATAATGTAGGGGATAGCTATCCAACTGTTGTCACTTTATACTATAGCAGTATCAATGTAAAGAATTGTTTTCCCTTGTATTTCTCCTTCTTTCCCTCCCATGTGGTAAAATGTGGTGAAGTCATGTTGAATTTGCTCTAAAACAAATATCGGCCTTTCTAGTTATTAAAACGGATTGTATGGGTGAGAACTTGATACTAAAAAAATAATAAACCGGTTTTAGTAACCAAGAAATGTCGTACCTATTTTTTTCCACATGACCACCCAAGACACACCCCCTATGGTGGACGGTTATACCGCCCGGCGCGGAGGTTGTCCTGGAAATGACATCTGGGTTATTTACGCCCGCTCCACCACGTTAGAACAGTGTGCTCGGGAGTGCACAATACATCCACGATGTGTCGCCTTCCAGTTCTTTGATAACCACGAATGCTACCCAAAATCCAAGTCTTGTGAGGAAACTGTGAAGACAAACTCAAAGAACGTTTTGTATGACAGGATTGTTGGTGAGTAACATTGAGCTAGTTTACAATGCCAGATACGCGCCTAACATATAGATAGCATAAAGATTATATCTAAGGAACTTTATTATCTAACCTACTGCATTCTTTAAATATTCTAAAACTCTGTCGACGCTTATTTTTGTTAGAAAACAGCTATTCTTGGTGGAAAAAAGGAAATATTCAAACAATCCCACTCTCCAAATTTCCAAAATCAGCGTCAAGGTTCTTCATTTTCTTTTACACATATTATTTAAAAACATAAACTGTAAGCTGTGTAAATTGTTTTCTCCTGTTAGGACCAAATTTCTAGTTTGGCTAAAAAAACAACTGCCATTGCCTTATGGTCACATTTTAAATCTAGTATACTCTTGTATTACACGTTCAGAAATTTATATAATTCATTACTTAAAACTTCGTATACAATAAAACATCAAAATCATTATGGATTTCTTCATTTTCTTTTACACATATTATTTAAAAACATAAACTGTAAGCTGTGTAAATTGTGTTCTCCTGTTACGACCATATTCTAGTTTGGCTAAAAAAAAAAAACTACCACTGGCTTATTGTCACAATATAAATCTAGTATAGTCTTGTATTACATATTGTATTAACTAATATATAATTCATTACTTAAAACTTCGTATTCTATGAAACACCAAAACTGTTATATAAAACAATACATAGTTTAGTGATAGTATGCTAACACAGAGAAGATAATTTTTTATGAAAAAAGGATTATATGGGCGAGAACATGTTTTCACTAACAACTGTATTAGAACCTGCATGTATTAAGAAAAGACTTGATGCTGAAAAAAATTAAACAGGTGGTAGTAACCAAGAAATGTCGTAACTTATTTTTTTACATGACCACTCAAGATACACCTCCTATGGTGGACGGTTATACCGCCCGGCGCGGGGGCTGCCCTGGAAATGACATCTGGATTATTTACGCCCGCTCCACCACGTTAGAACAGTGTGCTCGGGAGTGCACAATACATCCACGATGTGTCGCCTTCCAGTTCTTTGATAACCACGAATGCTACCCAAAGTCCAAGTCTTGTGAGGAAACTGTGAAGACAAACCCAAAGAACGTTTTGTATGACAAGATTGTTGGTGAGTAACATTGAGCTAGTTTACAATGCCAGATACGCGCCTAACATGTAAGTAGTTTTTGTCTAGACATTTTTTTTTGAAAGCATACAGATTATATCTAAGGAACTTTATTATCTAACCAACTGCATTCTTTAAATATTCTAAAACTCTGTCGACGCTTATTTTTGTTAGAAAACAGCTATGCTATTCTTGGTGGAAAAAAAGGAAATATCCAAACAATACTCCTCTCCAAAATATTCAAAATCAGCGTCACGGTTCTTCATTTTCTTCTACACAAATTTTTTAAAAACATAAACTGTAAGCTGTGTAAATTGTGTTCTCCTGTTACGGCCATATTCCAGTTTGGCTAAAAAAAAACTACCACTGGCTTATTGTCACAATATAAATCTAGTATAGTCTTGTATTACATGTTTATATTAAAGTAATATATAATTCATTACTTAAAACTTCGTATACTATGAAACACCAAAATTGTTTTATAAAACAATACATATTTTAGTGAAAGTATGCTAACACAGGGAAGATAATGTTTTTTATGAAAAAGGATTGTATGGGCTAGAACATGTTTTTACTTACAACTGTATTAGAACCTGCATGTATTAAGAAAAGACTCGATGCTGTAAAAAATTAAACAGATGGTAGTAACCAAGAAATGTCGTAACTGCTTTTTCCACATGACCACCCAAGACACACCCCCTATGGTGAATGGTTATACCGCCCGGCGCGGGGGCTGCCCTGGAAATGACATCTGGATTATTTACGCCCGCTCCACCACGTTAGAACAGTGTGCTCGGGAGTGCACAATACATCCACAATGTGTCGCCTTCCAGTTCTTTGATAACCACGAATGCTACCCAAAATCCAAGTCTTGTGAGGAAACTGTGAAGACAAACCCAAAGAACGTTTTGTATGACAAGATTGTTGGTGAGTAACAAGTAAATGACAGTGAGCTAGTTTACAATGACAGATAAGCGCCTTTTATATCAGCGGGTGTTTGCAGTGCCTAGACCTATTTTGTTAAATGCACGTGAATTATATCAGACAGAATGCATTTTGACAACCCCCCCACATTATCTGCAACTGTGATTAGGACGCTAATTCGTTTTTGTTAGAATTAAGCTAATCGTTATGGTTAGAGAAGGGAAAATATTGCCCAATACCGCTCTTTTCAAAATATTAAAAAGCATCATTACAGTTGTTTTTTGGTACATAAAATGATTTAAAAAGATAGCGTCACAAGTTTTTCTGTCGCAATTTAGATAACCAATTAAACCAGAAATAGGACTGAATCTTAAGTTTAAATACTAGGAAGAAACACCATTACCTTCTTGTCATGATATCAATCTAAATATTGAAAAGCTAATAACTTTATTTCAACAAAATAAGTAGTTATGAGGTTTGTGAAATCGTATGGGTCCTTGAAAAGAAGATGAATGTGATGAAAGTTATATTCTTAATGTACTCATTATCCGGAAAAGAAAGACAAGTCACAGAAAATACGGTTTATACTATGTAAAGAAGCAGATTCTATTTTTGAACGCTGTTCTATGTTTTTCAGCAGTTGATGCTGACTCCAGTGGCGGGTCTTTTAAGGTTCAGCCCGCAGAACCGATTTCCCCGCCGGGTAGGACTGCTGCCGGACTCCGCAGTCTACAGACGGATGACCTGACAGAGTCTAAGGCTGACCCTGAAGCTTCAGGATTGGTCAGGAAGATATTCGGGTTACCCATATTCAGGAAAAGACGACATGTTCCCGACCAACCCGATGACTCTTAGTCGGGCAGCATCGTCGTTGTTGGAGAAAAATCACTTCGATTTCCCGTAAGTAAAGTCCAAATTAAAATTATCTGGTTCCCGTATCTAATTCACACAGATTTCAATAGTGCCTTGTTTTTTCACTTTTAAATTTAATTATTTCTTTCACGCAGAATCACTATTTTAAAAATCAATATTGAATCCGCATTGTTAAGAATTATTTGTGCTGGTAGAAACCGTTAAAAACTAAAGCAAAAAAAAAACAAAAACAAAAAATGAAAGAGAAAAATTAAGCTTGGAACTTCGTACTTAATCTTGGTCAAGAAAATAAAACAGTTTTATTCTGATAGGAGCAGTACAATGTAAGAGAGTGAAGTCATTTTTATTTTGTAATATATAGACTATCCTGTATTGGATTTTTTTGGCAAGTCTGGCTGTAGACACTGTTTAACCCCTTTTTCAGACGGGGGGTTAAGGCCCGCGCTCACTTTTATTTCGGATAGCGCCTGAACGGCTTGCTCTATTTCCGTCAAATTTGGTGACTTATTCTAAATATATCTAGCAATTTTATATTAACTAGATGAGTTACTGATTTTTCGTGATGCCATGGCAACGGGTTTCTGACAGGGAGTTTAAAAAAAACAGAAATTTTGTCATTTATGTATAATTCAGTACATTTATGTTAATTTTTTATAATTTATGCTAATTTAATGATGTCATCGGACTAAATCAAAGATGGCGGACCATATAATGAGCTCTTGTGTAAACATTTTTTTCATCAAATTTTTTGTCTGAACTCCGTATTTTTTTAATAAAACATTAATAAGAACATATTTAGTCCATTTGCATTGTGTTTTGAGGCTGTATCTTGAAAACAATGCAATTTTCAAAATTCAAGATTTCCGATCCAAGATTGCCGACAGCTTTATTGTGCATGACGTCATTTTATATCAATTTTAGCATACGTAAACTATTTTACACTTTCCAGTTTTCAGCGCTGCGGTACAATTTTAACCGATTCCTGTTATTTCACCTAAAGCAGTACGAGCTTACAAAGGGGCAGCAGCAACAGGACCTGATGTCAATCACGGAGAAAGAAGATAATTTAATTGTCTTTGACAGACCAGTCTACCAATCGTCACGTTTGGAGTCAATCCTGTGCAGTTTACCAGATCTCTTATGATTATGGCGTCATTATCTTCTTGACTTTATGTGACAAACTTTTTCAAACGAAAAAGTTTTTGAAAACTAATAAATTAGTATAATTTACTGCTTGTCTAACATGTATATTATCAATGAAAGTTATATTCACGCTTTGAATATCAATGAAAGTTATATTCACGCTTTGAATAGAATAGAGATGTACTGATCATATAGCATATTGTAATCCATATGACAACATTTAGAACTAGGCTTTATGTGCATTATTTATCCTTTCTACTTATTGTTCAAACAACTATCATATATCAGAACACTTACAGTTGATAAAGAATAAACGGAGGTATGGTGAAAAACCAATGTTATAACTTGTAAAAAAAACAACCTGTTACGGTGTTAAATCGTTCAGTGTCCTGCCAGATTACCCTTTTTTCATTCTTAATTTTTTGTCTAATTTCTTTCCTCTCTCCTCAAGAATATTGCATGTTGTTACTAATGATAAATAATATACAATGTAAACTACTCTTTATCTGTAATAAACGTTTTCATAAATACATGCAATGTGCTTCCCAAGGTAGTCTTTTTGTATTCTAAGATATTGAACATATGACATGGTGAATTATCGTCTTCAGTTTTAGATTTTTAGTTTGCTTTTGGACATCTTAGCGGAAAGATTATTAAAATTTACTAATAGGTAAATTTAAGTCCCATATTCTTTTTTTAAAGAATATATGTAAAATATGTTGAATTTTCCATAACTTATAAATTAAAGCATCCTATCGGACAGTAACAGCTACATTCAAATAATTCAAAATGCGTTACTGTGTTAGAAGTGGTTTGTTCAAGGAAACGTCTGTTATGTTTATTTTTTGGTTTAATGTAATTTAACATAAAGAAAAAGACAATTAAATAACATTCAGTACGATTAAGCGTAGGGGCTTGGCAATTTAAAGCAACTAAATTTGAAAGACCAATCCATAGCTAGCGTGCATTTTGGTTCATACTTTGAAGAGAGATATGAATACATAGTCAAGGACCAAATACAAAAAAAATTGACACATGAAACTTTAAAGTGTCGTTTAAGAAAGGATGAAACGATTGATAAGTTTTCCGTTCAAATTGCAATCTGCAAAGTATACGAGAATATACTAAAAGCTGTATGTCGGGTTGATTCTCTTTTTAACACCCTTTTTATTAAAAGCTTGGTGTAAAAATTTATATAAACAATTGTCCTACCCAACAAAGTAAATATCAACATTATCAAGGCGCATGTAAATTTACGCCAAACGAACAGGATTTGTATTTCAACTCATATATTCAGAAACCAAACCACCTTTGAGCACTAATGGCCATCACATCTTTGGAGAAAGAACACGGCCATTCAAATTTACGAGCGTCCTCTGTAAACCTGACACGTCAAGAAAGCAAGATTATGGTATGTATTTACACATGTTATTAGTACTCAAGATTTGACGAATAACTTTGTTTATCAATTGTAATCCAATAATTAAAATTAACAACAAAAATCAACAACGACACCTGTCCATAGGCGACATTTCTCCGTAAAGTTTTATATCCTACAGATTAAGAACTCTATTGTGTATGTACTTGATAAATATTCGACGACAGCTACTTAGTAAAACTGTACGAGTTTAATAGAATTATTAACAATGTAAATACAGTGTAAGACGTAATTACAGTAAACACATGACGTCTAGGCCAGATTTTATAGCCTGTTAACGTTAGACCGCAACATCTGTTATGTAATAGTATGTTAACCTGACATGTAAATATAGTATACAATGTAATTATAGTAAACGCACGACGACTAGGCCGGATCTCATAGCTTGTTAACGTTAGACCGCAACATCTGTTATGTAATAGTATGTTAACCTGGTATGTAAATATAGTACACAATGTAATTTAGTAAACGCACGACGACTAGGCCGGATCTCATAGCTTGTTAACTTTAGACCGCAACATCTGTTATGTAATAGTATGTTAACCTGACATGTAAATATAGTACACAATGTAATTTAGTAAACGCACGACGACTAGGCCGGATCTCATAGCTTGTTAACGTTAGACCGCAACATCCGTTATGTAATAGTATGTTTATCTGAAGTGTAACCGACACTGTTAACTGTTACCTGTTCCGAATTGTTTATGTTCTTGTTGTGAGGGCTACCCCTTTATAATAGCCGGCTAGTTGGGCAGTCCTGGATATATACATATGTCTTAAAGAGCCTAATAAATCAAATCAACAGTTTGTAAGCACTTAGCAAGTGGTAACAACGTATCGTAAATGGCTGAATCCTCCGTCAAATACGTACGATATAGCCTAAATAAATCGCGCTGGTTGCGGACGCCCGCCACAACGGTTGCCGCCCCCTTAACCCCCGGCTGAGAGTTTGTGTAAACACAGGTTACGTAACTCAAGGTCAACAGCACGGCAGTTTAAACAGATGGACAAAGTCATATTTCGTAACCATATATTTCGTTTACTACATATTGTTAACTTGATAACACACACACACACACACACAAATAAAACACCTAGAGTATAGCACCTCGCTTACCGAACAACTACTACAACTTCGGCCTATCCCACAGGATTATGAAAATAGTGGTGTTTTTAAGACATGCATGCTGCTGCTGCTCCTCCTCCTGCCACTCCTCCTACTACTACTGTCACTGCTCCTACTCCTTCTGATGCTACTGCCACTCCTCCCCCTACTGCTGCTCCTCCTTTTGCCGCTCCTCCTACTACTACTACTTCTCCTACTGCTGCTGCTGTCACTGCTCCTCCTCCTGCTGCTGCGCCTCCTCCTCCTCCTCATGCTGCTCCCTCCTCATCCTCTTACTACGACTACTGCTGCTCCTCCTCTTGCCGCTCCTCCTCCTCCTCCTATTATTACTACTGCTGCTGCTGTCACTGCTCCTACTCCTGCAGCTGCGTCTCCTCCTCATCATGCTGCTCCATCCTCATCCTCTTACTACGACTACTGCTGCTCCTCCTCCTCCGTCTTCTACTGCTCCTCCCCCTCCAACTACTGCTTATACTACTGCTCTTTTTCCTCCTCCTACTACTACTGGCCTACGTAAGAATGTCCTTTGACTTTTCAGGGTTTGTTGAGGGCACGTACATTAGCAACGTCTTCCTCGGTCACTTTCCGTTCCTCCAGCAGAATGATCACACCCCCGCCAATAGAGAAGATGGTCTGGGCCCATGTAAGGTACATGTAGAAGGAGTAGCCGAAAGGCACGCCGGGAAAAGTAATAAGTTGGTAGCCGGTAAAGATGGCGGCGCCGATATCACTCAGAATACCTTTGGAAAGCAAAAACAATTTCTTTATAAAAACCTACTCCATCATTTGCCCGCAGTGTTTAATATAGATTTAATTCTATGTGATAGAAAATTCTACCAACATGCACATAGACTTTAAAGCTTAGCTATAAGTATATGAAATACGTTAGATATTTGGCTCTGGTTTGATATCTTCTTTTTTTACTACGTTGTATATTTTTACACATTTAGTTTGTAAGTAAACTTAAAATCTTTTACATTTTAAGTACTCGACAGCTATTTTATACCATGTCTCGAATGCAGCTTTTTTATTCTTCTTATCCGAATACAGTGAAACCTTATCCTCATATGTACTTACCTCCGGCTATCATCAGAGCAGCACATTTTGCCGGGTTGACAACAGGTTTCTTTATAGTCTGTGTCACAGAGAATATGACTCCAAACACCAGATTTAGCGTCCCGAAAACAATAAAACCACGGGTTGCCTGGATCGCACCTGGTCCTCCTGATACAAAAGATAGTATAATGTATACAATGTAATAATCACTATCATTTACATATTAATTAATCATTCAAACTTTATTGCACGGCACTATTAACATGTACAATACATTGCAAGTTCTAAAGAATTACTAATTTAACATGAAATATTTAACTAGACTAGTGTCAACGCTATATACCGTGTACAGCAATGCACAGGAGTAGCAAATAACGAGAATAACACTACAGTAATTTCATTTGAGTAATACAACATTATATATATATATATAGAGAGAGAATTGATATTCAAGTCACATATTACAAAAATAATCAGATGAAATAACACAGCTCAAGTTTCACTGCATAAAAACAGAATTTAAACATCAAATCTTATCTGTAGTTTTAACATATAATTTTTGTAATGAATGTTCCCCAGAGAAACAGGACCCTTTACCTTCCGGGAGCCCTCCCTCAGTTGTCCAGCCTGGTGTCGCCAAACCAACAACTAGAAGAACCAGCCCGACAAATGCAGACACTGCAGCGATCACGTGCGGGATGTTGACTTTGTTTTCAGCCATCGTGTCCCACGTTCTCTAGTGTAAATACGGAGCTACGCAGATGTACGTGATTTCCTGATCAGGATATGGGTAAGAATACTGCAGTACGCAAATGTCTTCGGTGGAATGGAGTCGGAACTGTTATCTTGTTTCACATCCGCATTTACTGACTCACTCGGTTTCACATCATGACTCACTACCCAAAGGCTAAGGTACTGAAACCTGGTTATTTTTAACTTTAATACAGTTCCCTTTTTGTCATTACAAACAGAATACAAAATACAGAAGTTTTTCCCCAAAAGACAACTGAGACTGTGACCATAATTTCTAACATGAAGTTGTGAGGCCCAACAATTGTCTCATAACAAAGAAAAACTTAAATACAGAAGTATTTTTTTCCAAGGACAACTGAGACAAGAATAAATGTAACCATAATTTCTAAACTTTTGATAAGTTGCGAGGCGTAACAAATGCGTTTTAGGCGGGTATAGTTAGAATGCGTTCAGAGAACACACGATCGAAACCGGAAGTTGGTTGCTGCGTTTTCCCACCAAGGGGTCAGGGGTCAACTATCCCAGCCGTCATTACGTCATTCCAGAACCATGCTAGCTAATTAGTATTCATGATGGGCAGTGGCGTTTGCTAGAGGGTGAAAACAACAACGGCTACAGCAATGACCCTATGTTGCGATACCATCGGGAGCAGGGTGGTTAACCATATGGGCTCGCTAAGTTAGGTTCCCCCTGCTCCTGGCAGGTTCAACCCTGGTGGGACGGGTCCCAGTGGAGCTGCTGCTGGCTAATAGCACCCGTACCCAAACTCCCTTACACGGGAGGCAATTACCGGTTTCCCGCCCAAATTGTTACCGGAAGGGGATGAGAGTTAATCGTGGAGGCAGCTTCCCCACCCTGTGAAACAATCACAGCTACAGAAACTACAGAAAAGAGAAATTAATCTGGCAATAGGAGAGAAGCTGCCCAAGCAGCTGGACACATGACGGCGTGGGTCAAAGCCGAAGGGAAGCCCCCAACCCGAGAGTTGACATCCTGTCGCCAGAACATAGTATAAAATCAGGATGCTGGAATGTAAGAACATTATTCCAAACGGAAGAAACGAAGATGAGTAGCACTGATCATCAATAAGATCAATGCCAACACTCTATTAGAATGGAAACCAATCAGTGAACGTTTATTATATGTAAGATTAAACTCCAAGTATTCAAAATTGTCTATTATTGTGGCATTTATTGATGTATCATCCTTAGATGCGCGCGCGCGCGCGTGTGTGTGTGTGAGTGAGTGTGAGTGTGTGAGTGTGTGTGTGTACGTGTTTGTGTGTGTGTGTGTGTGTGTGAGTAAGTGTGTGTGTGTGTGTGAGTGTGTGTGTGTGTGTGTGTATGTGTGTGTGTGTGTGTGTGTGTGTGTATGTGTGTTAGTGTATGTGTGTGAATGTGTATGTGTGTGTGTGTGTATGTGTGAGTGTGTGCGTATGTGTGTGTGTGTGTGTGTGTATGTGTGTTTGTGTACGTGTGTGAGTGTGTATGTGAGTGTGTGTGTGTGTGTGTGTGTGTGTGTGTGTGTGTGTGTGTATGTGTGTTAGTGTATGTGTGTGAGTGTGTATGTGTGTGTGCGTGTGTGTATGTGTGTTCGATTCCACATTCTTATACTTAAATATATGAAAACGTCTTTTGGATTGTGCTACAAAATTTATTTTCCAGTAGGCCAGCACGTTTGAAAATGACGTCCTCAATAACTCGTATTTACTTACTCCACATAAACCACACTGGTTAAACTGTGGACGGAAACATTAGGATGGTTAGTGACGGCTAGGGGAGAGGGATGGAGGGTGATTTTGAAAAAAAAAAATAAAAATAAAAAGACGAAGAAGAAGTGGTAGAGAGAGGGCAAAAAAATAGAAAAGGTAGACAGGAGAGGATGGAAATAGAAAGGGAGCGATATGGGAAAAGAGGATTAAAAGTGAAACGATTGACAGGAAGGTAGATTGTCGGATAAAGAGATGGAAAGAAGGTAGGCAAAAGAACAAAGTAAGGGAGGAAAGAAATAACTATATTCAATAGGAGTTGAGACGGCAAAACAAAAAGAGAATAGGGGTAAACCATTATACCGTAGATCGGGGTTGTATATGCCTGTAATGATATCATTTTAACACTAGCTACGTTCCATTATTCCACATCAGGCCATGCACGCACGTGTACATGATACACTAACATCTGTGATGTAGGGGAACTGACAGCCATTGTCCGGAGTGGCCCTGCTCATCAATATTTTAGATTCAATCAGAAATATAATTTTGTAAATTGCATTTTTACTCTATTCAGCGTGCATCGAAATTTCAATTTAAATAGAGCAATGCTACGCCATCAAAGAGACATTTTGATTGTAAGGCGTCTAAAAATAAATTACCAGGTAGCGCCGCATGGTTCTCACGGGATAATTAGCATAACTTGATTCATAAGTAAATCCGTCCATTGTTACCATTGTTACGGGCTTCATACATATTTCAGACTCCATCCCGCGGGACTAAATTAGAGCATAGAATTTGCTTTACGAAATTGTAAAGAGAAGGACGAATTTTGGCCAACATTTCGCGTCAACATAAAATTGGGTTGTATCTATGTATCGATAGAACAGAATCACTTATCAATGAACTGGAAAAAATGTAATAAGAAGACAGAGATAAAAGTTCCTTTGTCCAGCACGTCGGCTGAACATACCGCACCTGCGCAAAACCCGTAAAGCATTGTGCGTATTCGCGCATATAACACCGTCTGTAGTTTCCGGATGTGGGTAAAGATATATTCTGTAACAGAGAAAATTCTGATGCAACGTTGATCAAAAATCAAACGGAAACCGTGAAACATTAGGCTTTTGCGCAGGCGCAGTACGTTCTGCCGTCGTGCTCCATTTGCTTTGACTCATAGCAACAGGTGGGCAACTAAAAACCGTAGCGGCGGGGGGGGGGGGGAGTCTAAAGTGAAAATGATTTTATGGTAACTCTGAGATTAATTTTGCACGTAATGCTTGATACACTAGGGTTTGTAAACAGATTCCTGAGCTTATTTTGTAGTACAAGTTGCAATACTGTCAGTAACTCTATTTTTACTCTTCTGGAAATTCGTTTTACCCATTTTATAGTGGTATGAACCTTTCAAGCCACACATCTAGTGACGTAAATAGCAATGACACACCCATTAGAAGACTTACAGTAGATGATATTGTATCTACGTTTATTGTCCATTGTCGTACTGTGGAAGTCGTACTGTGATCAGCTAGAATTTCAGTTTATATTGTCTTCTAAGTTTCTTTTGATAATTTATGTGTTAACTGTGAGTACTGCCATACTTGACAAGTGAGCAGTCATCATCGAAGTACGCGGCGCCTCTCCTTTGTCCAGGAGGGTGTGGCTGTGTGCTGCTCTTCTCGATGTTTCTGCTGGTTAATTCTGACGGAGGGAAGCCGAGGAAAATGTCTGTTTCTCGTCTGCTCTTTATCTTCGGAGTCGCTTGTTGCTTTCTGATCACTACCTGCGTCGGTCAAGGTACAGTTTACTGAACTTTATACGAGAAACTAATTGATATATACAAATAGTGAACAAACAAACATGCATTGTATCATGCAAAATATCATGTAGCTCAGTAACTTTCAAAATAGTATTTTTAACTTTACACACGATTCTATTACATGGTGCTCACAGAGAGAGTATTAAGCTGGGTATTATGTTTATGGCAATCAGTTTGACGGTTAAAATTTTGTGTGTATACTAACAATTAGCTGGTGTGTTACGCCGAACGGCGGTTATACCGGCTATACAGATACAGATACAGAACAATATGGTCTTTGATATTAATAATAGTTTCTGTCAACACTGTAGGTGACTAACGCGTACAGAGAATACATCACAGTTACCAACGCTACATTATTTAGCTCAAATATTGGCATAGGACTGTGGCAAACTTTGACAAATATTTCCTGAGTTGTACCATGTATTGGACACTGCCAAGTTAGATACCATACAGAATTGCAAAATATTATTAACATCTTAGAGGGAATGTCAAAGCGGGTAAACAGTCACTGGTAAGCTATTCAAACTCCAGGACCTACTCCAAAGCCCACCATTGATTTCTTGTCTAGTGATTCAAGTCCGTCCAATGATTGTAACAAGGACGATTCCTCAGATCAAATGTAAGAAAAAAACCTCAGTGACAGCAATTAAAAACAGGTTGCAATAATTTACCACGAAATGGATCGGGGCTGGACATACATGTATGAAAGGGACGACGCTGTAAGTTTAGGAAGTAGTGTTGATTGAATACAATGTTAAATTTGTATTTATGCGATACCGCGACCACAGACCTCTCCCTCCAACACTTTTTAAAGCGGCAATGGCCGACAGAGTAACTTCAAGGTGTGTGGAAATGTCTTGAATATATATGTAATTCCCGTCTGATGATTCCAGTCCCTTTAATGATATCTTCGAGAACGGTTCTTCAAATCAAAGTCAGTTGTGTGTTTTTGTGGTTGTGTGTGTGTGTGTGCGCGCGCGCATGTGTGTGTGTGTGTGTGTGTGTGTGTGTGTGTGTGTGTGTCGCGCGCGCGTGTGTGTGTGTGTGTGTGCGTGTGTGTGTGTGTGCGTGTGTGTGTGTGTTCGTGTGTGTGCGTGTGTTGTGTGTGCGTGTAAAAAATATTGCTACTTTTTTTTGTAAAGAACCTCCAACGATTTTGTATTCTGCATTAGACGGTTCCACCACCAATTCCGAGTCTGATGATTCCGATCTCTCCAGCGATGACTACGATGACAGTTCTTCAGATCAAAGTAAGTTGTTTATGTTTGTGGTTGTGTGTGTATGCGTGCGTTTTGTGCGTGGTGTTGTCTTCACAAAAATATATTTTTACGCTTTTGTAATGACCCTCCAACGATATCAAAGTGTGCAGTTTTGCGCTCCCGCGAGTGTGCCTGTGTGTGGAATCATCCAAAACCGTCCAATATAAAAAAGGTAAAATTACATTTTCTTATCAAACGGTCCCATTACCAATTCCCATTATGATGTTTCCAGTCCTTTCATCTATTATTTCGTGGACAATTCCTCAAGTGTGTTTTAGAAAATA